GTTTGGCCATGTTTTTTTCATCGCTCACTACTGGAATTTATGCACATTTTGCTAACCATATGGCTCAAAAAGCGGGTATGGCTAATCAAGACGCGAACTTATGTGATCAGATGAGAACATAGTCATAGGCCGAGGCTTAGATGGGGAAACACGTGACTAGAGTCATTTTCAGGAATCGCGCCGGGATGCTTGGAAACTTCTTATCTTAGTCGCCAGTAGATTCAAACTAACAATGGTGCAAGCTGCTAGAAAAGGAAGACGATAATTCAATAAATAAAGTAGTAATCATTTATCATTATTGGATGAAATTATAAAATCGCATACAAATAATTAATTTAAGAAAAGTAAAACGTATATATTATTTAAATTAATGAATATTTATTTACGCGATTGTCGCAATATTTAATTGTTTATCCATTATTTCATTTTCATCCATAAATTTTTCCTTGAAAATATGAAAACATTATTTCTTTGCCCCGTTAATTTGCTCGAAGTTGTTCTTATAAAATAGTTATCATAACAAGAGAAAATCCGGATGATAGTGATAATCCTTAACATTTGCTGGCAAAAGTTATAAAATATAGCCAGCAGATTCTTAAAATATGAAAGAAGTGGCTTTTTCAAAAAAGACGAAATGAAAAATTTCCGAGACAGAGTCGATTTTGAAATTTTTCGTGACGAATTTAGCTTCTAGCATCTGAAGCGAAGGAATAGCGAAGGAGAAAAGCTTAAAAAATATTCTATTTTCTATTTAAACTATTTATTAAAATATTCTATTTTTTATATTTTCTTAAAACAATCAGTTAAATATCTGTAATATAAGTTGCCGCCTAATAATTTAAGAGTCTCACATTTCTCTTCGAATAAAATTGTTTCATCAAATTCGCATTTTTTAAGATGCTATCATATATTAGGAAGCTGTTGAACGAAATTCAATCCTATTTGCCAGCCAGCCAAAAAGCGCTCGTCGAAATCGTATTGTGACCACTGTCTCTGTTTTTATCCGAGAATCGGTTGCGGATAGAATAGCAGGAATCTTTTGTTAACTTCAACTGGATATATCCCTACAGATAATGAGATGATAGGAAATGCGGGATTAGTTAAGCAAATGGAAATGAGGAATGAGCAAATGTGTTGGGATTCTCAATATTGAACCTCGCGTCATCCTATCGCGAGCAATTAATCTGGTTAAGCAGACCATCATATAAGTAAGTGCAAAAGCAGGAAAAAGCAATAAAAAAGGCAAAAAAATTCTTAACTCGATTTACTTATTCGTAATTATAACATTTTCATATCGTTGATTATCTTTCTCTTATTTTCTCTTATCCCGTAAAAAACTAGCAAAATCCATAAAAAACTAATTTTTGGCTCAGATATCAACGAAATTTTTTTTTTTTAAGTATGTGTGTTGGCACAAAAAAATATCAAAACATACGATGATCATTAGAAAATATTGTTGAATTTTATTAAAATTATCTATTTACATCGCAATAATCCATGAATTTATTATCTCCATTGTTAAGCTAAAAAAAGCATTTCGTATAGCTTCTTTGCTGGAAACAAAAGTGCCTGGTGAAAGAACTGGCGATCACAAATTTTCTGTGTTTTCTGCTTCATGAATATTCTTCTAATTGTTTGAAGATAATTTTTATTATTTTCACGGGAAATTCGTCATTTTAAATATAATTGTTTGGAAAGAAAAATAAAAATACCTTTAAAACAGATCGATTTCAAGCAAAGTTTTATAGCAAGTTAATTGAAGGAAAAAGGAAATTTTGATGAAATATCAGATTATTTTTCGAAAAATCGAAGTCGAAAGAAAATAATATAAAGGAAAAGTGTTAGTTATCCTTCATCATATTTTATCAGGCCAGTTATGGAGACAATTAGGAATTTTTGTCGCAGAATCGGTTGGGGATAGAAAATCTCGAGCAATATTTTGAACCATTTGTGAGCTTAAGTGCAATTTGAAATGATCAAAAGCAATATGAAGATTTTTACGACTACTGTTTAATTTAATCCTTAAATTAGATTTCGAGTAAATTTAATCTCGAGCAAATTGATCTTGTAAAGCCATGTTTACTTTTATCAGAAAATCGAAATTCTAGTGCTCGATGTGGATCGAAATAATCATATCACTCGACCATCACTGCCTCTAGGAAGAAACTCTAAAGAAAGTAACAAAAATCACTTTTCAGAGAAACAGAATTGCATACGGCATTCGGTAAATCTAGATCTGATGACGTAAAATGAGCTAAAAATGAGCATGAATCTCTGTAACTCTTAAATTTGCTTTTTTACACAAACTTTCAACTGCAAAATATTTTTATAACAAAGTAATTTCCCTCGAGAAAATGCCTTATTAATATTTGTCGTAATCTTTCTTCGAAACAGTTAAAAACTTTATCACGGGCAGAAATTCCCCTACAACGGTTCTCTGAAGAAGCAATGGTTAGTTATGCAAGCCTAATTAGAAGTGAATGCTAAAAGAGAAAAAATATAGTAAATTAGTAAATTATAAAATTCAGATTTTTTTGCTTTTTCACAAATATTATTTATTATTTAATAATAACGGTTAATAAAATAAAAATAATAATAAGTATTATTATTTAATAATAAACTAAATAATTAATCATATATAAATAAATTAATTATTTCAAAAATTTCCCCATAAAATTACCCACGCGAAAAAACTTTTTTTAGTCTTTTTTTCATCAATAAACAAAATGAGAAAGTGTTGTAATCTTCTATGAATGTTTTAAAATTAAATAAATGTTTCATAATCCATCAAATATAAATATTAAAACTGATGAAATTTCCGATAAGAAATGCATTAAAATTTGCTTAAATTTACTTTAAAAAAAATTGATTACCAACTTATCAATTTTTTTTGATGTAAGAAATGGAAATTCCTTTTTTTTTACTTAAATTAATTTCCTCCTTTCGGCCGATTATGAAACTTTTTCATTTTTAGTCGGCGCTAACTTTAGTTTTTAATTGCTTCACGTAATCGTTCACGTAAATGCAGATAAAATGCAGACAAAGCCATTTGGCTTAGTGGGTTGTTGCACGATTAGGAGCGCCGACGTTGAGTTTCGATTTTCCGCAGGAGTAAACCTGTCCAAAAATGCTGGCGACTCACCAGTATTTCTATCGCCAAGGGACTCTCTGGCATATTGCCCAATTGTGACAAGCCAGTGGAGTGAGTTTAATCAGTAATGGTGAGGATTCTTTTAAAAAAAAATCGTTCACGTAAATACGTAATTTTGTTAAAAAAATATTTAAATGAAAATAATAAAATATTTTATTATTAATTTATTATTTAATATAATAATATAATAAAATAATGATATAAAATATAATAAAATATTTTTTTGTTTTTTAAGAGTAAATTTTGCAATATCTCGGTCATCGGTGTTTATGCTCCAACTCTGTCGGCAGATGACGTGATAAAGATAAGTATGCGGAACTTGCGGAACTTCAACTGCTAACAAAGTCTCTACCGAAACATGGCATGATCATAAATGGGGGAGACTGGAATGCTTGCGTAGGTCACAATGCAGCTGCGATGACCTCAACAATTGGCAAATATGGCATCGTAGACCGGTGGGCCAATGGGGAACATCTTCTTCGTTATGCCGAAGAGCTTTTTGTTACTAATACTTACTTTCGGCATCGTAAAAACATCTAGAAACATCACGTGAAACTCTCCGGACAACCAACACTTCAACCAGATTGATTATATTTTAGTCAGTCGACGTTAGAACAGTTCCGTACTAGATAGTCGTTCCTACCGTGGCGCTGAAACGGGCAATCTTCATGGATCTGACCATGTTATGGTTCGAGCCAAGATCCGCATATATTGAGAACTCGCAGAAAATAGCATCCCCCAAGTTCCTTCAACTATCTCAAACTAAAAAATTCGGAGACAATGAGTGCATTTCAAATCGAATTATTGAAGCATCTCAATGATACAAATATCAGTGATTTCTCTTAACGGCAAATGAATACTGGTGCAAACTAAAGGAATGTCTCTGAAAATCAGCGACTTCCACGCTAGGGCATACTAGTAGGAAGTGCGCTAGTTGGGTATCGGAAGCAACTGTCCAATTGTCTGAAAAAGTTGCCAAAGCACGAATGTCAGATGATCCTGACTACCGGATACTTCGAAGATTTGCAACGAAAGCAGCGAGGCTGGGCAAAAATCTCTATTAGAGTGAAATGGCCTCAAGAATGGAGGCGGCGGCTCGATTAGGCGACAATAGGAAATTATTTTGCCTTCTTCATAAAGCAACTATCACTCGGGAAACGTGAAATGGTAAGAGACAGCAATGGCGCACTATTTAAAAAAATTAAAAATATTAATTAAAAGTATTAAGGATCGCCTTATAAGATGGAAAGAATTCTTTGAGCCAAACTTAACCATGAAGCGCCATCTGTTGCCCCTGATATAGCTGATACACTTGCCGAAGCAAACGTTTGCAATTGCCTCCAACAGAAGAAGAAATAATTTCAGTTATCCATAACTTAAGGCCAACAAAACCCCAGGAGAAGATGGTCTTCGGACTGAGCTTTTAAATGCTGTCCATTGTGCTTCATAACGTACCTTCAACAAATATACTCTTTAGTATGGAAAAAAGAAATATTACCAGATGATTGGAGCAAAGCAATTCTGCTCCCAATTCTCAAGAAAGATGATAGGACATACTGCGAAATTATCGAGGAATCAGCCCTATTAGACGTCTCAGCAAGAATTTTTGCTTCCCTGCTACTTAATAAACACATCGCCGCCAGTCTGTAGGGAACTGAAGATTTTTTCGAAATAAGAACAGGAGTCCATCAGGGCTGCGTCCTTTCCCCCACAATATTTAACTATGCGATAGACTGAATAATGGACACTGCTTATCGGCACACAAGGTGTCCGAATTAGTCCAGAGCATCGTATCACAGATCTTGAATACGCTGATGATGTAGTCCTTTTCGCTGGCAGTTATAACGAAATGCAAGTAATATTAAATAACGTGTCAGAAACTGCAGCAAGAATCGGACTCAGGATCAATGTAAATAAAACGAAAGTCTTTTCGTCTTATGTGCAAGAAGCTAATAAAATGCCTCTTTTTGTAAATTCATTGCCGGTTGAAGAAGTGTTTGATTTCAAATACCTTGGGTCCACTCTAATACCAAATGGACAGGCAAAAGATGATATTATAACTCGGACCACGGCAGCTAGAAATGCTTCCTTCCGGTTTCTTCCGGTTGACGAAACCTTTATGGAATCGTCGTGAAATCACCATAAAAACGAAATCTATATTGCCGTGATCTTACTATATGGTTCTGAAACATGGCCAATGAGAGTGGAGGATATTAAGAAGTTATCTGCCTTTGACCACTCTTGTCTAAGGTATATTTTACGGATTCGCCAAGTGGATAAAATCTCACAAGATCGCATCCACCTTCGTTCAAATACCACTTGCGTAAATAATGTTATCACAGAGCGCCGCTTTCGCTGGTTAGGGTACATTCTCCGTCGTCCATCACATGAGTTGACGCATATTTCATTATTTGCTAAACCGTGTGATGGTTGGCGTTAAAAGCGAGGTGGGTCAATCAAGACCTGGACTGATACAGTCAGGAAGGATTTTGAACGTATAGGTGGATAAGCAATATATGGATTAGACGATGGAAAAAGGAATGGCTTCCATTACTGTCGGCGATGGCATCAGATCGTGCCGCTTGGAAGCGTCTTACCCTTGTAGCCGTTGGAGCCAGCCTAACCAGTAATGGTGAGAGCTATTAAATTTTGTTAAATTTTCCTGTAGAATTATAGCAAACACATTCGCTATATGCTTAAAAAAATTTTACATTTACACCATTTTGCTCGATTGTATAAATAACTAATTTATTTTTAAAAAGGTACGATTCGTCGTATTTTCAGCATGAATGTACTCTTCGCAATATTTTAGTTGTTTTTTCTAACAGCTCGTTGCATTATTGGTTAGGCTTCCTTCTTTGGCTACAAGGATAATTTCAGCTTAATTATTGCTATTTTATTAAGGTAGATTTGGATGAATACAAATTAAAATAATAATGACATAAGAGACACTAGTAATTATCGGAAGAAGCGAAAGGATGGAAACTCGTCAATACTAAGAAAAGAACCTCATTAAAATTTGAGTACTGCGATGTAAACAGCATTACTGGTCGAACAGCTTATAAGAAAAGCATAGACACTTCTCAGTTCGTTGATTTTTTCCAGTTGTTTGGTGCTTTTTCATATTTTCCTAGAAAAGAGAATGGAACTTCAAAAAATCCATCCCTATTTTTCTTTATCTAAAGTTATTCATGCTTGTCCTAAGAAAACAACACGAACCTATACAAGCATATCCTTTATAAAATATCAGATTTCTTATGAAAATAAAGTTTTTCTAGTTGACAATCAACTTAGTTATCAACTAAGTCAGTTGTTAATATACGCACTCAAAATAAAATCTTTTCCTCCCTTATATGCCGAAATTTCAACGATCAAATTTCGGAATGGAAATGAAGAATTCTTAATAATTAAATTATAAATTCCCTTTCCGATATTTTTTATTAATAATTATTATTTATTTGTTTTTAACTTTCGACAAACAAATTTTTTAAATTACTTTTATTTGAATTTTATTGAATTCAATGCTTCCAAAAATTTCTGTGAAATTGAAGAACGAAATTTTCCGGATGAAATATTAAGGATGAAAAAAATTAAATTTCTTACTATTACTGCACTTTATGATCGATCCTTTCTTTCTTTCTTCATAAAAAACTACGAAAAATTATTGAAATAGTTGAAATAAACGAAATAATTATCTAATTATAATTAAGAAAAAATAAAATCATCTTATTTATCTTGGAAAATATGGAAAAAAAGAAGGCGTTATGCGTTGATTTGAGATAATTTATTTTTAAGAAATATGATTCCAAAGATAAATTAAAAATATAAAAAGATAAGCTATTTTATTGAAAAATAAAAGGAGGAAGGATTTTAAGACTGGGCAAATGAAAATGCGATTTTCATTAGCGCTTGCGGATAATGACGATTTTTCAAACGATGATGATTTATTAATAAATTGAATATTGAATTTATGAATATTGAAAAATTGAATAATAAAAAAGAATTGAATTTTTATTATTGTTATTACTCCATCCATTATTATTTTATTTTGTAGAATTTTTATTTATTCTCGTCGGAAATACGAAACAAACGGTCGCCTCCCTAATAAAGAAATTCATCTTCTTTTCTCTTTCTCTTTCAAGGAATTAAAAATAATTTTACTAGGAATTTTAAAAAACGACATAGACCAAAAGCTATTAAATTATAAAAAATAAGAGCGAAATAGGGAAATGCCTACTGCTTGGACTCATTAAAGGTCCAATTCCTAGCATTGACGCGAGCAAACCTGTCATTAAGCCAATGCACACATTTGTACTTCGATCCACAGTTTACAGACTCTAAGCGGTCTCACCCTGTTATTTGAACCAAATAGGCTGATTAGAGGAGGAAGAACGAAAAGAGAAAACGAATGATAAATGAATGATAACGAATAATTGAATAGTATGAGTCCATTTGGCATTAAGTATGCCATTACATTTAGTTATTATACTATGGAATTTTATCACTTCCTTGATGAACTGTGATAATATCATTAAGCTATCATTCATTGCGAATTTTTTAAAATTATTAAAATTTATTTGTTAAAATTTACAAATTAAAAATTGATATTTTACAGAGATTAAAGTATTTTAGCTGGCTTCTTTGATTACGAGTGCGTTGATTCAAATAACCTTTTCGCTATGAAGCCACTTTGGGATAGAATTACACCTCCAGTTCCATACGGAATCGTTCTAATAGCATCGCATTTCATAGAATAATCGTGGAAATTTTTTGGTAAACGATATATGATCTTAATTTAATAGTTGCACTTCGAATTTCATTACGATCGTTCTAAAATTACGTGCTATTACAATATGAATTACAAGCTATGCACTAAATTTGTAGCAAAGTTGCGGTACCAGACTTTAGTTGATCCCTCATGGGCATTAGGTTTTAGGCTTTAGGAGGCCCGGATAACTCCACATTTAGCAAGCTACTCAGACAACTCTAAATTGAAAACATGACCAATCACCAAGTCCTTTATTTCACTGGAACAGAAAGTTATAAAAAAAATCTCTTTCTACTCTCAATAGATCATCCTAAAGCACAGTATCTCAACGTCTTTGTCGTTCCAGTAATTTATTGGAGCCACTTTTTCAGTTTGACTGTTTGACTGAGTGGGGCAGTCACACAGGATTCTGGCATTATTTTTCGTATTTCTGAGAAATTTCTAATATGGTCCTGGAAGAGCCAAAGCAGATAGCTATATATTAAGCAGATACTCCTGTAGACAATACCGATTATTTATGTCTCTCAACATATCTTTTTCTTGTCTGCATCCTGCGCTAGATACTGGACAGGTTTTTTTGCATAATTTGTGCATTGAGTCCTGTCTGATATGGCCGCTTCGATGGATCTGGTGTGTTACCTGCTTTTATGCTACTATGATCATTGCATCAGTAATGTTTTTTAGTAGAATTTTCGCCAACCATTGGTAAGATATGTATATAATATTGCACATAAAGATTAGCTTTAAGTACCTTAGCATCCTAAAATCACATGGGAACCACGATGAAAATACAAAGAAGACAATGATATCCAAACACCACTAAAGAACAAGATAGGCAGGAAAAGCATATAGGCATAGCCAAATAGCTGGCATCATCATCTACAGGAATATCAATTTACTATATGGCTTATATCCTCCTAAAATAGGAGATTCCCAAAAAATATAGCCAAGTTCCGGCAAACTTCTATATCCAGACAGACGAATATTTTCCAATCAACCAGATATCATGGTAGTGGACAAGAGCCTGAAATCAGCATTGGTATCCGCATAGATATGGTACCGATAGGAACTTCAGGAAAAAAGAAGCTGTAGAAATACCAGAGATTGAAAGAGGAACTAGAGTATATGTAAAAAGTGAAAGCCAAAGTAATCCCAGTGATAACGAGAGTGTTAAAAAACGTGGTCCCTAAAGTAGAAAAATAGTTTCAATAGATCCGTCCAGAAGGAAGCAAGCTAGACTGCGTAGAGCTTACAATATCCCAGGCCTTTGGCAAAAGAGCTAAGGTTGAAGATAACCTTTACCACGTGCAGGAAGGCGAAAAATGGATAAATAGACAGAAAGATTGCATAAATTACTGAAGTAAATAAATATATGTATATGATAAATATATGATAAATACTTGCCAATAAAACTCCAAGTAGATTTTTAGCCAAGGCTTTTCACAAATGACTACGAAAAAAATGTTGCTTCTCAAGACAAAACTTTAAAAAATAAAATAAACTTATTTTTTAATATCATTCTTAATATTTTTAATTAATATTTTGCTTTTGTGTGTAATATTATGGGAGTCTCTTCCCTTGCAAGCATGCCTGTGATAATTTCCTTTTTTTGTCCCCTTATAAATCGAAAACTGGTAGAAATTATTCCCATTTTATGGTACCATTTTATAAATATTAGGTGTCACTGATATTTAACAAAATTTAAGAAACAAAATAAAGAATGACTGGGATTTCCATAAAGTTTTTTAGATTGTCTTTATGTTATCATTTTTATATGCATCGCAGTCAAATCTACAAAACGATAATCGCTTTTAAAAAATTCTAACGCAAAGAAAACTATTACTGATAGTTATTAATCAGTCGTAATCATATCATTGTGTATTATTTTATTTTAAATTATTCATTAAAAGCAATTTATCCATTGCAAATCATAACTTCTAACATTTCTTCACAAACTCGCTATGTTCAGCGATATTAAATTTATATATATATATATATATATATATATATATATAAATATGTCATAAAATCTGATCGCTTTCTCGCTGCCCACATTTTTAACGCTGATCATCTGTTCTGTCCGATGTAACATCAATAGGACCTCGTCTTCCTCCAAGTTCCCTTGGGTACCAAACCTAACGTCCGCGGCATAAAACCGTTTACGACTAAGTTTTTCTAAAGAAATTATACGAAAATTTTCGCGCAATTCATGTAAAAAATTTTCTTGAAGGCCGTAAATCAGATACCTTTTTCAGTTACTTAATTAAAAATATAGCCTTTTTTTAATGAGTGTACAATCGATAGATCACATGCTTGAGGCTCATTAGGGCTCCATTCTTCTTGTCTGGTTAGTGAGCATAAAGTGCGCTAATGAGAATACGAGCATCGATAGGAGCTCGATGCTATCAATCATGGCCAACTAATTCGCTCGGAAAAAATCCCTTCTCACCTCTGTAGGTGGTCTGGATTTCGCCCAACCCCGAACCACCTTCTAGCAGAGGTCTGCAAAACTGAAATTCCACGCATTACAATATTTATAACATTGATAAATTAAGACGGAAAACAAATGCGTAAAACAACAATTCCCTAAAGAAATAAAAATTTCATTTTAATTTTAGAAAGAATTTTAAGCTAAAACAAAAACTGAATAAATTATTAATTTTCATTAGATTTTTTCATTTTTAACAAATTAATTTGTATTTTAATAAAGTTTCAGTTGTTTTTATTCTCCTTTCTAGGGCATAGAAAACATTAAAATTAATTCCACTTTTAAATTTAAACCATTACAAATTTAAGTCGTCTAATGAAAAAGAGTGCTATCAGCTATGACACTCGACCGGAGGAAATCTTCGAAAATCCTCGCACCAACGTTGCCCGCGAAATCGACCAAACCAGAATAATGAATGCTTTTAATGTGGATAAGAAACAAAATTCAATAATTCTATTTTATGGTAATTATAGAATCGCACACAAATTTATTTATTTTTTATTTATTTTTTGTTATTTTTATTACTTATATTACCATTGTTTATATTTATTTTATATTTAAATATAATGTTAATATAATAATATTACATTATTATTGATTATATTGTTGCTTTCAATTTCGTTTTAAGTTATTAAATTGATTTTATTTTTATTAAAATTAACTTTTCTCTCCAAAAATTTATATTTATAATTTATATTAAATTTATATTAATTTATATTTATATTTGTTATTTATATTTGTATAAAAATTTATATATAAATTTATAAATTTATAAATTTATATTTATATTTTAAAAAATTTTTTTTCCACTGAAAAATTTATATTTTTGTTTTCCATTCAAAATTTAATTTTATTTAGCAAAAAATCAAGTGTAAAAATTTATTACTAAATATCTTTAAATTTGTCACTTAATTTCTTGTTTAATCAAAGTGAGTCGATCTATTCATGCAAAATCCTTTTCATTAGAATTTAAGGAAAATAATTCGACCGACCGTACGTTACAAGGCGCGGCCGCGTTTTTTAACTTGCTTTTTGCGAGGATCTCTATCTGGTTAAGCCAATTTGGCTCGTTGATTTAGCTTAAGCGCTGAGGAAGTGAAATTGTTTCTGGCTGAAAGGCGTCGAAGAGATACTAATTGGAGAAACGGAGGACTGAGTGGAAATTAGATATCGACGATTCGCTGAATAAATCCATCCATCCTACTTCAACTTTTTGTGCTGATTTATTGTCCATAAAACTCGTCGCCCTATGGGACAAATTTCATGTTTGGTTCGCGAGCCCGCGCACCTCACTAGTTACTCTCTTTGCCCGAAAATGTGGGACCGGTGAATGTGACAAGCAAGAGGACCCAGCAAAGGCCGCTATGAGCACATTTCACCGAACGTGAACCGAGATGAATGAGAACTGGTCTACGTTTCATTTCCATTTCCATTCCGTACGTTAACAGATATTTGCCAGATACGTTGCGCTGATTGCGAATGCAATATTCATGCAGCGCAGCTCAGTATTCGTATTTTCTTGAAGGTCAGTGCGCGCTCAAAATCGCTCTTTCAATTTGAAGAGTACTGCGACTGACACATCCACTTTCTCCAGTTTTCATCTTGAAGCAGAGTTTCCGCTTAGAATGACATAGTGCGGCGCAGTTCTCCGGCGATGCTGATTGCTCGTACCGTTAGGGCATACTTTTCACTATGTTCATGCTATCCGTCCACGTACGCTTTCTCCATTCTTCACATATTAGCGATTATTCGCACACACCATTTGGCAACGAATTTAATATCGAATTGTTATACAAGTTTCTTATCTTATTGAACCAATTTTTAATTTAATATAAATTTATGATAAATTTAATTTAAATTTAATTTAATTTGATTTATATTAAATTTAATAAACTTAATATAAATCGTGGAAATTTATTTGCATTCGCAGATTTTTCTAATCTTCATTTCCTTTCATATATTTCGAAAAAAGAGTTAATAACGATCATTTATATCTCAGAATAATTTCACTGGAAATATATGCGAGAACAAAAATATTTCCGAGTTTTTTCACGAGGGAAATTCCAGAAAGTTATTTGATCAAAAATAAAATGAAAAACGGATAAAGAAATGTTTGAATTCAGCCATAATATTTCATGCATTTCATTTAAAAAAGTCTTTAATTATTAAAATCTCAAATTTAAAAAATAGATTGCAAGGAATAAAATCAAAAGAACCAGTAATAATGAATATATGCTTTTGCGCCCAGAAAGAACGAAGGCTTGCGGTGCTTTCTGGACGATTTTTCAAAGCACAGCAGGCGGGTTACAATTTGTTATATGGTTTCTCCCTAGTTTCATTACTTGAAGAAATTTATCCGAAGAAATTTATCGTTTATAGTTAAAGTACTATGGGTTTCGAATTACAGTTATAACCCGTTGCACAAATAAGTGGACCAAGCTCATTTATAATCATTATTATTGACCTTTATTCCTTATTTAACCAGTGTTAAAATTCTCCAATGAGAAATATTGCTGCTATGTAAATTTTCTCATAAGTGGTCTAATTATTCAAGTTTGAGGTTCTGCGGCGGTCCTCAAGAAATTCTGGCAATTCCAAATGATCCGATAATTTTTTAAATCATAATCAATCCTAAAAAAAATTTATATAGAATCCAATTTAAAATCAAAAATGCGCTTAAGGACGATGCAGGCCAAGCGATCACTGTCCATGCTCCTAAATATCGTGTGAATATCGAAGATCCATCTTCCTCCTTCAGATCTCATGTTGTAGTTGTTAGACCTGGCTCCGATCAGACTGGCTATATTATCGTTGCTGTTTCGATTAAATCAGGCTGAAATAGCGTGGCAGTTGTCGTTTTTGAAAAATCTTAGTCCATTCCAATTAAGTGGAAATCTGATCTATGTTCGCTTTAAAAAAATATTCTGCAATATTCAGTCATCAATGTACATACTCCAACTTTATGCGTAAATGAACGCTTATATTCATTAAGCTTATGTTCTATGTGCTACTGTGTGCGCCAATGAAGAACACCTTCGCGGATAACCAAATGACCAATTGATTATATCTTAATCAATATTGGGAAATTCCTGGACAATCGTTCCTATCCCGACGCTGAAACTGATAACCTTCATGGACTAGATCATATTAAGTCAAGCCAAGAGTCACTGTAACGAAAAATAAGCTCTTTCTCACAGTTTGTTAGTTTTTATTTTCATTTGAATCGTTAGTTCTTTTCGTTAAATTATTGTAACTATCGTCATGGTGTACCTCAAACTTGGGCAATTAAATCTTAATTTAAAATAATAACGAAGTAACAATAAAATTAGAAACGATATATCACCGTGTAATTACAAACAAAAAATCAAATGAACAAATTACGTTAAAAAGATTGTGCCCAAAAAAGAGGAGTAGAACACAAAACCTCGGCCACAGCCACGCCTTGATTGGTCCCCTCAATCGACTTCCCGACTTGTGGACCGTAATCAGCCCAACCAGTCTAATGGTGACAGCTACTAGAAGAAGCAGAATTACAGAAATCAGTCATAAATTTAACAATACCTCATATTTTTGTATGCTGATTCCATTAGCTAATTAGATGAGGCACTTCCAAAGATTTCGATATCAAATAATAGTGAAATAATAAATTGAAATCACTGTGGAATCAGTGTTCACCCAAGTGAAAAACTGCAGAATTATTTTCATTCGTTTCGTTTTTAGAGTTTCCAAATGACATATTTCTTCTGCAAATTTAATAAAAGCCAAATGAATGTTTTCTTGAATCCTTGAAAAAAATAAAAAAATAAAAATAACAGCAAAATTTGACATACATGAACGAATGCAGATTATCCAACCTTCGAAAAAGCGTATCGTACTGAGCATCGATATCACAATTTGCACTAAATGAAATGAAAATAATATTAATATTAACGACAAATTATTTGAAAGTCTATGTTTTATAATGAAACGCTACCATATTTCATCATCTTTCTATCGAAAAAAAAATAAAAAATTCTGCTTCATTTTCATCCACCTTCACCATTCCTAATATAACATTACCATAATGGAACTCGTCGGCCAGATATATTATTTGGAGATGAAAAATGCAAGCCCTATCAGTCACCTGTAAGTTTCTCCTATCATGGAATAAACTACCTAACCAGAATTTAAATTAGAAAAAAATATTTAAATAAGTAAAGTTTTTACGCCAACTTAATTTCTTTAATCTAAATTTATGTAGCCAAATAATATTCATTCCTCACAATTCAAAAAATTTTTTTGCCCAATTTTTCAAACCTTGTCGATGGGACTTGTAATCGATGCAGTTTAATATGAAAAGCAGTTAATTCCTCCATCTCCTTTCGCGCTTGCTGCATATGACTTAGGATCTCATCACTTACTAAAATTTTTTACCATTCAGATACTGGCTTCTTGAAAATTTTGCTCATGATACTTCTTGCCAATATTCCGAAACTGTTTCCATAAATCAGATTATATAATTTTCTATTTCAGACCATTATTCAGACTATTAAAACAACATTGCTAGTGTTAGACAAATAAATACAAACAGTTATTAACATACAGATGGTCATTTTTCCTGATCGAAAATTTTCAAGCATAGACATAAGGGAACCTTCCATAACATCAATATCGCCGCCAAGATCAGATTCTATTGTAATAGGTGTGAAAGTTATGTCATCTTCCATCTCATTATGGCTCTGATCGTTCATATCAATGGCTGTCACCGGTGATAATTTTTCTTCTGACGTATTAATCAAACTTGATTTGAAATTATTTGCTAAAAAATAATAATAATGATTAATAATGAAAAATAAATCAACTAAAAAAACGAATTAATAATGGAGACAAAAAATGTAAATAAATAAATAATGATGAAGTGATCAATGACCAAACTGATTTAATTTAATAGGTTAATTTAATCAAAATCAAAAGAATTTAATAGATAGTTCCGAACACCAAAACAAGTTGAAATGTTTTGCAAGAAAAACCTTGTTCATCAACAGAAAACTCAAGGAAATCTGGTCGTGTAAGTTTTTCATGTCGAGAATCAATCGTTTCAGTCGGCTCATTCTTCCTATAACATCGCTTTTGCGAAAAAAGAAAAAAATTAAATAGTAGAATTCGAACAAATAATATTATTAAAATAAATTTTATTATATTTATAGTAAAATACGTTAAAAAAATTGATATAACAGATCTGGAAATAATGCACATAAAACATCGCTCATTATAAAAAAATCAACGAAACGATTCATTAAAATAATTCACATTGTTTATAATTACAATTACAATCTGAAAATGTTATATTACTGACATTTAAGCTTTAGAAATATTTATTTTTCCAGTTAAAAGTAAAATAAAGGAAGATTAGACGACAAGAAAAAGTTAACGGACCAGATATCCACAGACCAAAAAATTGAGATAAAAATGAAATAATGGTAATTTAATTTAATATTTTTAATATTTAATATTTTTAATGGCAATTTAATTTGATATTTTTAATATTTATAAATCGCGAATATCAAAAATATCCTCGATTATACTGGCAAACCAAGGATGAAAAAAATCTAAATCCTAGTCCAAGCTAAAAACCAAGAAAATTTAAGAAAACAAAGAAATAAGATAAAGGATTATAACCTTGAAATGATTGGAAATGGAAACTTTGAAAGACGATGCATACCCTCGCAGAAAATCGCTTATGAATATGTTATTCTAAATTAAGCCAAAGTGAAAAAAAGTGTTGGAAATATTATGAAAATTGATAGTAAAAATGATTCAGAAATCAATGAAAATTTTCAATAAATTATAAATTATAAATTAAAAATTATAAATAAATTTTCAATAAAAGAATCTAAATCCTTATAAAATCCTCCAACTAAGACTGCTAAATTTATAAAAATATCCGAACTAAAAAATAAAATCGTTTGAAATGTAATTAAATCTCCAGTTATGGCTGGCGCCATATCGCAAAATCCGAAGAATTGCAAATACCTATCCGAAAACTAAAAAAGTAAATCCATCTAGTAAACCTTTTATGTGCGATATGCTTGCGTACCCAAATGACAAGGCATGGTCCACATAGTACCTTTTTTTGACAAAATTACTGTTCATTAATGATTTATGAGTTATGAATAGGAACTTAAAAAATGAGGCGGTTACTGAGCGCATTTCGCATTCCTGGCATTACCAGCATGAATGAACTTATCTTTCAAAAGATGCTGGCAATTCACATATCATATCTACCATACTTCTATTGCTAAGTGACTCGCTGGCAAAACTTCTCTAGTCCAAGATAGAAATAACCAGAAATAATGAGTGCTCTTTACAAAAAATACTTTGAAATATTTCCTATCTATTTCGTGATTTACACATTGTCTGCGAATTCCGCAAATTTCACCAAACGTCCGGCTAAACCAAAATAGCGAAACTAAAATAAGCGAAATTAGATTCGAGATTCAATAATAAAACAGCAAAGAAACCTTAAACAATTAACAAAATATACGGTTAATAAAACGAGAAACGAGAAAAATTAAATTAAAACCACTGAGAATGGTGAATGGTGCTAGAAGAAAAAGAATTCAAATATTTTTTAAATTAAATATTTAAATATATAAATCAAATATTTTTCATATTTAGTTAAAAATTAATTAAATTAATAAATTGAAATAAGATATATTTTAGAGAATTTAAACGTGTGGGAGCACCAGCGATGAATGGATTTGGACAGCGGAAAAAGGAATGTCTTTTACCACCGTTCAGCGATGGCGTCGGACCGAACAGCTAGGAGACTCTCAGCTTTGTAGCCAGCGAAGCCAACCTAACCAATAATGCTGGGAGATATTAGAAGGAAAAATTTACACCGACGGGACAAAACCTTCAAAAGTTTGGAAAATATAAAACTTAAAGGAGGGCAACGAGTCTAGCGACAGCTAAACGACGCACCAATGTCCGCATAACCTTACATTAATGAAAATTTATCACTTCACTTACTTATTCCAACTTTCAGTCTTCTACGACCTAGAAGATTTACTGTAAATCATGTTTTCGTCTCAATACCATAGCCTACAAATTCTCTGCAGCACTATATCTCTTTTATTTATTTCGTTGGAACTATATATTTCGTTTAGATTTGAAAGTTTTTGAATAATGAAATGTAGGATACGATTCTCCTAAAAGGTATTTTACTTAAGTAAATTTCCTTATCACGAATAATAGAATGAAAGAGCTGACCCTGCGTGTATCTTATCTCTTATCTGATACCGCGATTGTCTGACAGCTGTGAGTTCCTTTTTCTTACCCACTCTTTCGCATTTCTTTTTTCTCCACGTTCTCTCCTAAAACTATGCTGTTTCCCATGCTAATTGCTTCTCGCATCTCTTACATCCGAAGAATTTCCTTATTTACATCGAATTAACTAACATGAATCTAAGTTTTTATCAAAGGTTTATTTATCGATATCTTTTTTTATTTTTCATTTTCGATTTTATTTTTTCATATGATTTGGAATATTTTCTTTCAGAGAATCAATGATTATAAATTTGTCTGATAAGCGTGGTGATAAATATGATAAGTGTGGTCGCTGGTTTGTTTTTTAATTCTTAAATTTTTTCTTTGTTTTTTCAATTTTCGAATTGCTTTAATGCTATTTCTTGTGATGAAAAGATGTCTTAGATATGGAAAAATCAACGTCCTATAAGGCAGGTGAAAAATTTTTTTGGCAACTTAATCAGTCGCTGTTGCTGCCGGGTGATATTGATTTTAGATGGGAAGATTATCGAGAAATTGTGCAGGTTTCTCTTTTTTCTTCGGACAACACGCATCATTTCTGGCTTCATTCGCTAGTAATCAGCAATACGAACCTTTCCTTCCAATTTACTCCCCTCGGTGACAAAAATGAAACTTACGCTTTTTTTCTTCCTCTACCAAAGCAACAATATATTTCAAATTCATATTTTAGGTTTGGCTTATAAATTTAGCATGAATAGCTAATGTTAGCAGAGAATAGAGGAGGAATATTCACAGCAAATCCTCAAAGTAAATTGGATATGAGCAAATTTTCCTCAGTCTTCCTTTGTTTAAATTTTATATATATTTTGTAGCCTGACAAAGTCAGCTTTTGGGTGATGCTTGGAAGTTTATTGACTTTTATTCTTTGGAATGTATTTCTCACATTTTATCTATCGCGAATAATTGGACCGATAGTAGGTTTCATACTTACGAAGATTATTCGATTAAAAGGATACAATGGCTATATTTCGATTGGTTTGTTTTTTTTTAGAACCGTTTAATTGCCAGTATATATATTTTGAGAATGAACTCGGCGTAATTTCCAAATATTGCTTGCTGTACTTTTCCAGATTCCTTTTCTATAAGTCCGTTGGCTGGTAAAGCTATGTTCCGCAATTTTCGATGGACATGTTGCGATTATTTTTTACACTGTAACGATGGTTGGGTTATATTTTCGTATTGGAAATATGATTCTGCTCAATTTATTCCAAATCCAAAGTTTTTTTTAAATTATCGTTTTCTCTGTTCATTCAGTATTTGATTTTCTAAAAATCTGATCCGTCTGATCGCATAAATTTATTAAATTTTTTCATTTTGATTTTTTCGTCTGGTTTGTATTTCAAATTTTCAAAGTTTTCATGCCAGTTTCTCTTTAAGAAACTTGTGTAGTATATGTAACTTACTGTATATTATAAATATATTATATTATTATATATTATATTATAATTATATATATATATTTTATATATAATTTATATAATATATATATATATATATATTATATTATAATTTTTATTATAATTAGTTAAATAAAGTGTTAACTTCTTAACACATTTATTAAAAGTCATTACTAGTAGTAAATATATGTTTTCGTTTTAGCTCAACATCTCGCATACATTTTTCTCTTAATGGGCTACAGTTACATATTTACAACCGCTTGCATAACTATCATAAACTTTCAAAATTCTTCGGATTTGAAAAATTATTTATTTCATTGAAAAACCACTTCGATGTTCCCGTAAAAAAGCTAACAAGTTTCTTTGATCTCTTTCTCCTTTTCATTTTTTAATTTTTATCATTAACAAATAAAATTTAAATTATTTAAAAAATTCATGTGAAATTGGTTTAATATGTTATGTACTTAGAGGAAGTTCTATCGCAGTGATGTTATTAAATTTCTACTGAGTTTTCAGAAAGTGAAAAGTCGAAATGGGATGAATATTATCAGAAAATATGGACATTAATTGGTTATATAAAATTAGATATTGGTTCTGGTAGGATTGTAGTTGGCAACGATCTTCTACCATCCATGCTTATTCTTTCGTTTGAGAATTACATATGTATAAATTTAAAGCAAATTCCGTTATTTTCAGCGGTTAATGATAAGTTATAAATTAATTAGCAATTTTTAAAATTTTCTTTGTTTCTTTAATAATATAATTTGAGGACCTTTTACAGCCATCTTTAGCCATTTAATCATAGCCATTTTTCTTTTATCTAACAAAAAAATTTTTTGTATATTGGGTTTACTATGGTCGCTCTTCCCTATCACTCTATGTTTGGTTTTGCTTGGAGATTTTTCTTAAAAAACCGACATATCAAAAATTTTTTAAAATTTTTATGACAAATTTTTAGCAAAAATAAAACTTAAAGAATCCCCTAATGTAAATGATCAAGCATTGGTGAACATAGTCGCAGATATGGAAAATCTTCGTGTATCTTTGTCAAAACGAGAAAATTTTGAGAAAAGTCGACCACCTGGTTTTGTAGGACGTCATGATCCCCCACCACGAACAATGGGTGATGGATTTGTTGTTATACAAAGCGCCCATTTAAAATTATTTTACAGCCAAAGTTTATTAGGTATTCGTTTTAATTTGAACGAATCAAATTTTAACTAACATTTTTCTTGAGTTGAGCTATTCTTCTATAGAAATAAGCAACTCAAATATATTCATGTTTTTGTCACTATTTCTTATTAAGTATTAATAAATATATGAATAGTTATTATTATTTCGAGGTCTTGAGGGCGAAGAAGTGCAGTCAATTGCAAATGGACCAATTTGGGAATCAGTTTGGCGATTTGGTAAAAATACTATATTTTCTTATGGACCATGGGCCGATTCGCAAAGAATTTTAATTCAGAATTTTTTTTTTCCTCCAGAATATCGTGATTCTGAAATAACGTAAAAATTTTATCGATTTTTTAATTAAAAGTGACCTTATATTTTTAAAATGGCTTTCGATAGTTTTCAGGATTAATATTACTATTAACTGGCTTATAGGCAATTACCGAAACAAGGAGAAATGCGTCAATTTTTGGCTCATGATATTCGAGTAATACTTTTGAGCGATTCATCTATTGATGTATGGTTTATGCGAGGTGATGAACTAAATGCACTTCACGTTCGCGTTCAGCGTGGTTCATCTTTGGATGTTACTTTTTAGAATGTTTTTAATTTAATGTTTATTCAATTTCAGCTTATTTATTCAATTTCGAATTTATTGGCAAACGAAAAAAAGATTTTTTAATTTGTTGTCCGTTTCAGTGGAAAATTCCTTGGTCCATATCAGAAAATGGATATAAATCATTTGCACGTGTTTCATTATTACATGTGGAATCGTCCACGTCTCTGTTATATCCGAAATTTTTTCAATGTGAAACTTTTCTTTTAACCGTTGAAGCGCATTATCCTCGTGTGTTCAATGGTCATCAATTGTGGGAATATTATCTCGAAACCAGCAAAACGGATATTTGGTTCGTTTGGGACCTTAAGAGATTCTTTTCAGTTGGTTTTTTCTCATGTTTTCATTGGATTTTTCATTGTTTATTCATTAGTGATAATTTTATTTTCTATGGAATGCTGAATTAGAAGTAAAAAATTCTTAAATGATGGATTTAAAAAATTAAGTTTACTCTTATTTTCTCTTTATCCTGACAATTAAATATTTGAATTTAGGATCTATTCACTGAATGGAATATTGGATCTGTTCCTGATTTATATACTTTCATTCCTTGCACATGGAAATTCTATGCTAAAGTGATAGATAATTTTCAGCTTTTCTTAGTGCTAAATGATAAAAATTGGATTGATACAACGTAAATGCCAATTTAAATGTTAATTTACTCATTTAATTTTCCACTTTTTTGGGTAGCAATCGAAAATTTAGATATTTATTAAATGTAAAATTACAATTTGTTAGATGTATAACTATAATTGTATAACTATAATTTGACGAATAAATGGGGGAGTAAAAAGATTTTGCATGTCGACATCGTCATAATACCATAATTGACGATGAGTTTGCTATGAATAGTTGGCTTCCTAAAATTTTGATAAATTTAATATTAATCCATTGATCGTCAAAAATTTTAATTGTTCAATCCTTTATAGTTCCTCTTCATCATCCGAGAATTCTCTTGCATCGATTACGGTTAAAGAGATTCATATGAACTTCGACCTTCCTTTCATAGATTTCTGTCCAGAAACAGTATCAACGAAGTTTATCATCGAGACTCGAGGAGATCTTGTGCTTAGTTTTTGGTTTCCCAAACAAAATACATCAGCTCTGCTCGTTCACTCACTCATGAAAAATGCTGCTTTTATTGCCTTCAATAATATGCTTAATTCAAATATTTTTGCTCCTAAGGTAAAGCATCCTATTTTATTTTTATTTTAATTTTTTCCTAGTTTCCTAAATTTTTTTTACTTATTCAGGAATGGATAAAAATTTGGCGTGCTAAAAATATTTCTTTATCTATTGAATATACATATTATTCATCAAAAGTGGATATATCTTCTGATTTGCCGCACCATGTTGTTTCTAAAGAAAATATAGAATTGCCAAAACATCCGATCTATCTTCCTCCTAATAATCTGATCGTCAAGGTAAAACTTATTTTCTATTTTAATGCTTTATATTCAGATTGGTTTTATTTTAATTTCAATTTTTTTTACAGTATTTCTAATATTTTTTCAGGCTGTGATATCCACTTCTGAAATTCTTCTCACTGGTATTTTAGCTAGACTCATAATTAATTTAAAAAATAATTATTTCGGTTTGTATGACCAAGTTAGTCTTTTTTATTCTTTATAATTAACCATTGAGCCTTTCGTAATTGTCTTGTTCGGCACTGATGGTGCACTTGAATTTAATCTTTTAAAATTTATTTCTATTTCTATGTAAAGTGGGTATTTATCCAAAATTTTTTGATTGATTTTGATAAGTTCTTTCCTAATATTTTATGAAGGTATTATTTTAAAAAGGCCTTTTTTAGCTTTCTAATATTTTAAATGATGGCTCAAATGTCCAGCAATGTTTATATGGCAATGTTTTGCACCATATGGATCATTATAGGCCACTTGCTGTGCGATTGTGCTTAAGATTACAGTCAATTAAAGCTCATTGTCTTGTACATAACAGCAAACCAGATTCTTTGACATCAGGCAGTCTATCTGAAATTATATTCTTTTAAACTATGGGTTTCTACGAACCATTTTATTTTTGAAAACATTTTATTTTTTAGTGGTATTATAGGTCAGTATCCCGTTATTAGTACGAAGGAAATCGTTATTGAAATTGTGAAAAGTCCACTCGATGTTCTAGTTCAAGTATTTACGCTTTCCTTTTGCATAATTATAACAATTATTTGGACAAATTCCAAGAAATTTGCCTCCATTTACTTACTTATGCTTTCATTTGGTGTTGGTTTCATTTGATTATTTATTTAATAAATAAGTCTGTTTTATAAATATTTCAGGTTGTTCTTGGTAGAGTGAATATGCACTTTGAAGGATCTTCCAATTCTGATGGAAAGATAACGTTAAAATCTTTTTCATTTCGTGGAAAGGCTTTGTTTTCGGAAGCAGATATACCTTGGGATGTTTCCTTTATAGAATATGCGTGGATGACGGAAATTGTCATTGGTACAATAACGGCGAAAGTACATCCTTCTCAAGTATCTCTTGGAATTTCTTTGTTATTCATTTTTTAATATTATTTTATTTTTTATATTATTTTTTTCATATTCGTCTCTCAAATCTGCTTCTGAATTCGCTGTAATTTTCTTTAAAGATTCAGCTGTTGTGAAGCTAAAAGCTAATTTAAGCTCTTGGATTTGTTTTAGATCGTTTTGATTCTACAGTTCCTTGAGTCATTTATTTTGTTGGCAGATTGTCCAGATGACAAGTTGTTAATTCCGGAAAGGTTTCTATTGTATTTTTTTAAAAGATTTATAATTTTCACTCATTTTTTGCCACGCAGTCATGGTGGCATATATTGTATAAAATATAAAATAAAATAAAAAAGAATGGAAGAAAATTGAAAAGAGTATATAAACATGGTTACTATATGGGAAAATTAAAGCACCATTGTTACTGATTTATAAGAAGAAAATATAGTTCTATATGGTCTAATTTCTTAAATGATAGTCTTAAATGATAAATGACTGAACGTATGCATTTTAAAAAGTTTAAAGACAATTGTATGAACAAAATATGAGCTATATAATTGTTTAATGGTCTAAAAGGCTAGCTGTTATTTAAGTCATGAAAACTTTAAGGTGAATCCAGATATTTCTAACTTCATGGTACTTCATATTTTCTAAGAACACGCCTAAATCAAATATTTTTTATTCAGTGATTTATTTATATTTTAGTTCCAGATCTTGATATCTGACGAATTCTCTTAACATAAGGCTGAGTTCTAAGCTGAAAGTTTCAATCTTTGAATTCTTAATCTTGATCCAATTTGTTTTTTGAATAAATTATTTTGAAGATTATATAGACAGTTCTCAACACAATTCTCATTTTGCAATCTTTTTATTTCACTCTTTTTTTGATTTTTATAGTTACCAACCACTTTATTACTTTATTTATTACTTTAACACATTTTTAAAGTTATACTTTTAGATCAAGAATTATGATCATTTTTCAGATATGAAACATGTCATCATGTTCATAATATTCGTTCTTGTCCCTATTCATCTTTAAATATTGTAGATGACAAAGGAAAGCTTATAAATTGCGTATCAGAAAATGATGTAATTATTTAATTATCGTCAAAAATAATTTTAAACTGAACTGATTTCAAATTTTCTTTTCTATGATTTCTTATTAATACTATTTATTTGACTTGCAGCTAAAATATGAAATGGTCCGAATTAGTATTGATGCTATCAATTTGTTAGTAATCGACGAACAATTTGCATTTAATATTGCAATATCAAGTTTACAATTTGCATTTTGTAATTGCCATGAAGCTTCTTTTACATCGAATTTGAATGTGAATAGTTCTTTGGTATGTGATTTGGAAAAAGTTGATAGAATAATGGATTGCTTTTATTCATATAAATTAAAATATTAAAAAAGTGAAATCAGATCTCAGACAAAATAGTTTTTCTATAATATGACTAATCCAAATGTTTTTTCTTAATTCTAAAATTTTTTTAAGATTTCAATTAAGCTACTTGCATTAATGAATCCTGTCGAAAATTCAAATACTTGGTCCTGTTGTGGTGAATTTTCGTTGGAAGGCATAAATTTAAATATAGGATTGCCACACTCGCCTAATCAGAGGCGTTTCATACAAGAAAAGAAACTATTCTTAACGAAACATGACAAAAGAACCATGAGGTGCTTCAGTAGTCCTATTCTTCTTAACTAATCATTTTTAAATTAGATGGTCAAATAAACATTAAAAAAATGTAAGTTTTAAATTTTTTCAGACTTCGCTTTTTGTGGAATAAACGTGATGATTGCTTTTGTTATGAACGTAATCGATTTTTTGGCACAACTGATATTATGTAAATTTTTTCTTTTAATTTTTTTTTAATTTAATTTCTTTTAGTTTTTTCTTTTCTTTTTCTTTTAATTTTTTCTTTTCTTTCTTTTTCTTTAAATTTTTTCTTTCTCAAAAAATATTCTGAAGATGTCTTTTATATAAATTGTTTATGACAGGTGATAAATATTTTTTTATAGAAATAGTACTTTTTCTTATGATAAAGCTTGTTTGGTAAAAGAATCAATCAAGAAAGTTGAATGTGAAGCTATCGAAATTGGCCAAAGCTTGGTGTATTCGAAAAAGAAGTACTCTATTTTCAAATGGATTAATTTTATATTTAGAAAATTCTGGATTGAATAGTTCATTTTCATCATTTTCACCATTTATTATTTTATTTTGCTTGTTAAAAACATAAATTGATAATTGGTGATGATATTTCAGAGCATTAATCACTGATGAAAATGTAAGCGAAAATTCCGAAATTGCATTCGCTTTAGAAATTCCTAATGAGAAAAAGGTAATTATTCTTAGTAATTTTTTTCCACCTCCAATTATGATCGTGATAGTTATAGGCATTGTTACCGTCTTTTTTATCATTTCAGGAAATACGGCGTATGTTATCTGATGAGTCTTTTCATTCGGCTATTTCATCTCAGTTTATTAGTTTGTCTCATCATATGACCTGTCCTATACTTTCAACTCCTATTTTATCAAACACTTATTCCACTTTTCTTAGCTCTTTTAGAATCCGAGACCACTGTATCGACAGTTCGAGCTTTGATGGAATGTTTTTTGAGAAAGTATTGCATATTTCTTGTTCTTCTAAAGTCTGCTTTTGGATTGTTGATTGACTAATATATAATAAGTTTAATTATTAGGCATGTAAACTGAGAATACTTAAATTTTAAGAATAGAACCTGTTAGATAATTATAAATAATTATAAATAATAAATAAATCTATTTTTTTGGTTCTCTTTTGTTTTTCGCTTTCTTTTTTTCAGAAATGTGTTGGCGTAAATGATATCACATTTGGACACATTGTTAAACAGAAAAGAACTTCACCAACAAATCAGTCTGGTTTTGCGAAATCATCAAATAATGTAGATTATAATGTAAAAAATGATGAAACTTTCTCAGTCAGAGGTACTTTGGCTTCTAATATTAAGGTTTATTTATTTTTCAATTTATTTCTTTCATTTTTTCATTACTTTGAAAGTTAATATGTATCATATAAATATATAAATTTTGGAAATTTTTTTTTGTTCCGATTACACAATGGATCGCTTGAAAATTTCTAGAATCACATTCTTATATTTATTTATTTTTATATTTAAATTTTTATATTCTAAAACTTCGTTGCACATATTCAAACCTTAGCTTGTTTGCCTATTTAGATATTTGCTACACCTCTCTGCCTTGAAATTATTGAACATATTGGTCAGTCGTTGGTACTCGCTATCACTTCAGTACATCCTGTATTTATTATGCAACATCTATATACAAAATGCGTGTTTGGACTTCATGCTCAACCTCTTATTGTACATAAAAATGCTGAAAAAAGTTCGATTTTTTTTATTATCTGACTTTACTTTTTACGGTCATTAATATTGTTCGTTAATATTTTGTTTGCTTTTCTTTATTTGTCTTTTTCTTCTTTTTTCATTGTTTCCATGAAATTTCAGGCGGAAATGCTATTTCAATAGATTTGACTCTTCCTGTCGTTGAAATAAATCTTTTTCATTGTGGCCTTATCGAAAAAACAGTTCAGTCTTATTTGCTGGAAGATTCTGCATCTCATTTAACGCGCAGTGGTATGGTGTGTTTCATATTGCAAGAGTCGTCTTTTTTGTTTTCAGAAGGAATGACTGACGTAGGTTCTCTTAATTTTTGAATTAATTCTTAAAAAAAAAAATCTTTGATTGTAATAATGTGGTAATTGCACTAATTTTTTTAGAATTCTGATTAATCATAATTTTTTTTTTACAGTTCAACGAAACAAATATCGAATATAAATATGCTCATTGTCATGCGCAGTTTCTTGAATTTGTCGAATCAGTTAAAATGGACTTTACTCATAATAAGGTTTTATCGTCATGTTATTCAACTAATTGGCATGATTTGAATTGTAATGATCCACTCAATAAATTCGACCTTCGCGTAATTGCTGGTATTATTACTATCATTCTTCTATCATTTTGTTTAATTTTTTTGTTTTTGAAAATATAAAATCATTTATCACATTAGAATAATGTATGAAATCTATTTTATTTAAATATTTATTATTTAAATATTTATTAAATATTATTTAAATATTTATTCATATTTTCAGATTTAGATATTCCAGAAATATCTATAAGTGTGAATTCTCGTCCACTGCTACTATCGGAACGATCGAGTGAAAGCACACTTCACTGTCAGTTATCTATGGGGCCGATTCATATGTCGTTTGGTCTCTGTAAACCAGTCGATCAAACAAATAGGTATATTATAAACTTTCAATTCCCTTATACTTTCTCCAGTGTTTTTTGAATTGCCTAAAGTTCACAAAATTGGAAAAAATAGGAAAAAAGAGTTTGCTATTTAGGAAGAGCTAGAGAGAGCTAGAAAAAAAGAAAGAAAAGAGAGAGTGCGAAACTTAGCTTTATTTATTTGTAGCAATGAATGGCCGTTATTCGATGTATTTGCACCATGTGTTAATGCTTGGACATGTTCCATTCATCGCTTCACTCATTCTATGAATTCTAACTTTCTACAGATAGATGGTTGGATTGATATAATTCTTATAAAAACTTTATCAGATGTTCTTGATTGTACTGTAGATCAGGTATTTTTCCATAGTTTTTTCTCACTTTTTTGCATTATTTTGCATAATTTATTTCTTCAGGTCTTCGCTAACTCCAAAAGTTGTTTTGATAGTGTGCGAGTGCTTCAGAGTTCCTTGGCATCATGCCCAAGCTGTAAATTGACTCAAATTCTCATGCGTTATTCGATAAACGAAGATCTTTCTGCTTACTGGAATGAAATTGATCTCGTTGATTGCTCTAAATTAATTCCCTATGAATTGCGCAAACAAGCTCTTATCGCTTTATTGAGCCATTGTCAGACCATAATTTGTTCATCAGTAAAGGTGTTTTATGTTGCATATTCCTTATTTTTTTCATCTTGTGGAATTCTTGCTTTTTCAATTTTATGATATATTTGGAAAATTTTTAAAATTTCAGTCAACTAATCTGATGTTTTTGTAATGTTGAATAGATTTTGTTTAAGCTTGTTGATTCAAAATCAGCAAAGCGATTTGTGCATTTACCTGCACGTGATAAAGAAAGATTGAAAATAAATATTGAACCAGTCGATGTGGTGGATTTCCGACTAGATTCGAGAAACAGTGGTTTTATTAATGAACGGCATATCATGGATAAGCAGAAAAACAGTCGGCCATTTCGCTATATTTTAAACTCATTTTTTTCAAATGCTAGTGATGATTCCTTCATCGAATGTTTTTCATAAATATATTGATATTTTAGTGGATCTTTATCATTGGATATTAGCGAAGCATAAAGAGTACAAAGAAGCAACTTCTAAAACGAAGATACCACAGAAAACTCTCGAGGACTCGTCTAATATAAATTTGATGGAAATTAACTTATCGATATTTTTCTGGTCAATTTATGAAGTAAATTTTGTTGAAAGTTCGATCTATTCATCTCATACTATGAAATTAAATAAATTGGTTAATCATATTTAACTAATAAATCGAGTGCACGATTTCATCATTAAAAATAATTTATTTTTAATAAAATAATTTTAATGTTGAAATATTATCATTTTTATTAGGAAAGAAACTTAGAGCAGTCGTGGCGCGGTAGAATGCGACTTCCTGACCTAAATATAGAGTGGTCTGTCGAATGCAGCGAAGTAAAAGTAAAGGGTTTTTGTTAGTAGCGATTTATCGATGAAAGAATAGAGTTATAATCGAGTTTCAGTGGTGATTAATAAATTTAACATCTTTTTACTCTCAATTCAAATTTTTGTGATTCACTAATAATGAATATGTTTTACAGATCGATTTACTGGAACCAAAAATGATTTCGTCATCAAATGTTAATTATCTATCGTTAACAAAGCATCATTTGTTTCATTTGGAATCCTTCATGCCGATGGGTCAATTGCATTTGTTGATGCAATTAGATGAGTACAAACTCAGACCAAAAAAGTTTTTTTTTCAATTTTTCAATTTTTTTAGAAATCCTTTTCTTTTTTTTACGTTCTTTCAAGATATTAGTTGTTGCTAAATTATTTTACTTTTCAGTTTTATATGATTTAAATTTAAGTTTTTTTCATTGAAAATCTAGGCGCTGTCTCAGTTCGCTTTCTCATATCATTCATTTTTTTTATCTTTAATTTCATTACGATTAACTGACCTATCCGGCTGCAGTTATCTGTGCTTATTGTGCATCTAGGCATTTTTCTCCATAATTCATCTTTTCCATATGTCACCTATGTTATCTTATTATTTCAATTTCCTTGCTTACGAATGTTATTGAAAGAAAAAAGGGAAACTTAAGGAAATTACAGAAAAATTGAATAGAAATATGAATATTATTTAGAAGTATAAAATATTAAAATTTAAATTAATATTATTTTTCGAATGAAGAATGAGAATTTCAGAGCATTATGCAATCTTTTATATACATCTACAATTCAAAATATTCGATTTACTCTATCAGTGGCATCTGTACTGTTCTTGAATGACTTATCTAGAGTGATAAGATCTTATTCCTGTATGAAAACTCATCTTGAAAACTCATCCAGCCAAAAATCTTCAGCTGAGGAAGTCACTAAGGAAGAAAGGAGGAAGGAAGCTCCAGAGTCATCCTCTGGAAGCAGTAATGAATATTTTCACGATTTCTCTTGGGTTGATGCAGTATTGGATAAACTGAAAGATTATAACAGGTTATTATACAAGATTATTACATCATATAATTTTTTTTCTTGTTTTTATGTTTGTTGGTGTTATAAATAAGAGGAAAAAAATTATTTTTAGAACACGGGGTGGTGATATTCAAAAACGAAACTTTTATGTTCAAACAGATATCAGTGGAGAACACTGCTTCAAGATGGTTATACTCGAAATGGCACTCACTCATCTTTTTGTATCTTTAACATTTAAAAAAATTCAGGTGAATTTTTTTAGCAAAGCTTTTTTGGTATCAATTTTTTGCGAATTTTTCTTGCTGTTATTTTTTTTGAGGAATGCTTTCATTAATCTTTAGTTGCAATTTCTTTTGCTTATGTCTTTCATTTTATTATATTATATGTAAATTATATTGAGATCATTAATTATTTCTCTACAGCTCTCACATAACCATAAAAGAGATGAAATCGTGGAGCAGAAAAAGCAATTGTTGGATCTGATTAATCTTTCATTACAACGTTCATATTTGATATTATCTGAATTTGTTGTTGGTTTAGATGCAAAACATATTATCAGTTTTTCAATAAAATCAAGTACATTTTCCTTTAAAAGGTTTGCTTTTAATATATATTATTTTTTGTATTAAAAATCATTCTTTAAGCATTCAGTAACATCCAACAGAAGTTGAAAAATTGAGCAGTTTCTTTGTTATTTTGCTGGATTTTTTAACTATATTTAAAATTTAAATGTTCAAGAGAACGGGAAATTGATAAATCCATCAATAATTTCGTCAATTTATCTATTGGCGATATCGAAGGGAATATGCCGATCCACGCTCAAAATTTACATGAAGTAGTGCTAAGGAATGTATCCCAATTAACAGAACAAATGACTCGATTGGAGTATGATGAATCAGTTAGTAGGAAATGAATAAATTATTAATTTTTATTGATATCTTTAAGTATTTTTTTTGTATTTGTTTATAAATATTTAATTATTTATGTTACAATTCCTTTTTTCCAAAAACTAATTTTAGTTTGTGGGAGAATATTCTCCTCACCTCCATGATCATCAAATTATGGCTGTTATTTTCTTCGAAGTTCATTTGAGCAGTGTAGAATTGACTGCACAACTTCTACCATCGCTTAAAGTCAAATATCGTCTTGAGCACTTGGAGAGTAGTGGCTATACGTTAGTTTATTTTATTTGTGGTACTAGGAAGTTCGTTTTTTAAATCTTCTTGTAGTCTTATAATTAAATTTTCCCTCAATATTTTTTTATAATCTATTTGATTATAAAAGAAATTTTATTTCAGTGGTTCTTCTGCAAAATTCAAATCGGTTATAAGTAATCATGTCCTCTTTTTTACTGTTTCCTCAGCTGATGAAAAGAGGTTATCTCCTATTTCATCGGATATTTTTACCCTGGCACTTCCTCGTATCATAGCAGATGGAATATATAGATCAGTGACAAGTGATGGTCAGTTGAAACAATCCGTGAATTCTGATGAAAAAGGAAAAACTGCTACAGAGAATGATAGGAAAAAGGAGTGGTGGCATACAGATGATGGAAATGATAAAGGAAATTTACAACTTCACGAAGGAGGATATTTTGACATTGAACTGATTATTGGTTGGTTGAACTTCTATGAATTTGACTCGACTTGAATTTTATTAATTTATGAATTTGACTCCATATATTTTTTAAAGTTCAACGTAGATATTTTTTAGGGAAATTGGATCATTCATTCACAACAGATCTTTTAAATCAAGTTTTATTTGCCGAACAGTGTTTTCGTTCTGAGCTTTCCTCTCTTATTAATCGTATTTCCATGGATCAATCTCCTCATCCAACCTTTTTCCATGATCACTCATTGCTTTCGCAGAATCGTTTTTTATTCATTCTTTCTGTAAAGTTATATTTGATATTAATATTTTATTAATATTAATATTTTAATAATAAATTAATATTTTAATGTTATTAATTGATATTTTTTTAGCATTATTTTTTGAAAATCTGATTTTAAATTCATCATTCTTTGAAGATAAATCATTCAAATTAAGGCTTTTTAATTTTTTCACTTTCAACCAGCTTTAATGCAAAATGAATTTGAAATGAGTTTGAAAATGAAAATGAAATGAATTTTTGACAAGAAAAACGGCATATCTTATTCCTTTCTTTTGTAAAATGAATTTTTGACCAGAAAAACGGCATATCTTATTCCTTTCTTTTTTTCGCTCATCTATTCTTAAATTTAGATTAAAGAAGAAGCTACTCCTTGGCTTCAGTTGACAGCGAGCACACCTACTTCGATCGCAGTTCGTTTGACATTTGATAATATTTCAGCTACATTAACAAATATGTTGGCTCAAAAAAATGGTGTTTATAATGTAAGTTTCTTTTAAAGATTATCACATATTTATTATATTTATTATATTATATTTTATTCTAAGATTATATTTATTCGAAAATTAATTTTATCAATTAAGACAAATTAAAATAATAAATTGAAATTTTCAAAGAAACGATTATATGGCAAAGCAACGATTGGCGTTAATGCAAAACTAGGACAGCTGGTGAAAAGTGCTATGTTCGAAGAGATCGACGCTGAATTACAGGAATTTGCCACATTTATGACACAGGTTAACTAATCGTAAAATTTTTTATTATTCCAACGGTTTATTATTCCAAATTGGTATGATTATGATATTTTTATTTTTATTATTTTTATTAATCTTTTAGATTTCTTTTCAAAATAAGGAGAGCAGTGTTCACACATCATATAGTTACGTAATCACGGTGAAACGGCCAATACTTCTCGTGAAATCGACTGCTATTGACAAAGTATAAAATTTAAAGTTTTTTTAAAAATTCCCAGTCTATAAATTATCGCTTTTAGGCACTATTACTTTGGTTGAACTATAAAAATGCATATGATTACTGGCGTGAAGAACGCAGTAAGCTTTTGAAATCAGAAAGACGTGACTCAAGAACGACAGCCTCGTTTTCTTCTGTAATTTTTTTTTAAAATTCTCAAATTAAGTTAATTAAAATACCAGAAAATTCTTAAAGGATGGATTCCAGGTTCCTGAAATGAACGTCAATTTATCTTTAAAAATTGTGGATGGTGCTTATATATGTATGCCACTTTATAGTGCGGATCTAAGTACAGATATGTCTGCACTTATCATATCACTCCAAAGCTCAGATATCACTGTGTGCATACAAAAAGAGCTTGCTTGTCAAGCTGCTTTTCATAATTTTAAAGTCAGATTTATTGACAATTTTGATGACCAGGTAATCACTATTTCTTCTATTCTCTCCTTAAAATGTTTTTCCATTTTTTTCATGGATTCTCCTCACTCTTGAATTATTATTCAATGAATTTCAGGCTTTGAATGATTCTTTACTGGACGAAAAGGGTGATTCTACTGGCACCAACTTTTTTTATTTTCCAGAAGGGACTTATCAAATCGTATCGCGGGCAAGTGCTGCTAGTGGGCCATCACAGAGCGCAAAATGGTTGCTGTTAGTGAAATGGCAAATGCGAGGAATGGTGATTGATCTTGATTATGTGCGTTTTTTCTATTCCTTAAATTTGAATAGTCACTGGCTAATTAAGCAGAGAATAATTTTTCACAAAAAATATTTTTTATCTTTTGCAGCGTATTGGTAAATTGATTGTTCTGTTGATGAACACATTTTCATCGTTAACTTCTGATAACATTGATGATGATTGGGGTGATCTCATACCTGAATCTCTTCTTTATGATTCTGATGATGAAAAGAGAGAAGATGATGACATTGATTCTACTGGAGAACTAGGTAGTCTTGCCCAAGAAGAACGTGTTCAGTGGATCGAAAGAAAAGTTCTTCTTGCTATTATTTTCTTCAGATTTAATTTCCATTCATTATTTCGAAAAATCTTGCTAATCTTGCATTATAAAGATAAAATTATAAAGATTACATTCATTATAAAGATAAAATTTTAATGAAAAAATTAATTAAGATAAAAGAAAGTAAAATTCCTTAATATATCTTAAAAATCAATATATGGGCTTTTTCCTGGATCTCTGATCTCGTAATCATCTTTGTGATAAGCTACTAAAAGAATTGAATTCGCTATAGATTAAATAAAATTCTTAAATGCTTGTATTTGCAAATGTGTAGATGCATGAACAATCTGTGCTTGTGAACGATTTAATACAATGCGGAGCAACTGAGCCCGCCATTGAAAAAGAGCGTCGGACTCTAAGAAAACTAGAATTAGCACGATTTCGCCAGTTTCGTAAATCGGTGCTGGATAAATTAAAACGAAATGCCATGCGTCATAAAAGACGATTCACTGAAGCGAGGAAGGTTTGCTTAGTTTCATTTCTTTTAAATTTAAATTATATTTTTATTTTGATTTAATTTATTTGTTAATTTTATTGTGATATTTTATTTATATGATTCTTATCATATATGTATAAGTCTTTTAGAACGAGTCATTTTCGCGAGAACTTCCCCGAAATAAATCGTCTACTGTTATATCCACAAATTCTCGATATTCGCAACAATCTGAATATCCATCCAGTAAGCCAGAGAACATACATATCAGTGATACTGTCAATATGGATATTAGTGTACAGGTAACTTGTTAGATCAGCATTTTTCTTAAGTTTTAGTTTTTTTAATGATTTGTGTGATTTAGATAGATATCGAGTCAGGGATGTGCACTTTGCGAGCAGCTGAAAAAAATGATGAACAACTTAGTTTGTTTATTAAACGACCTTCGACCCGAGATCTTCGATCAAAAATAACTTCCTCTAATAATACTATTACAACTTTGACAATTCCAAGGTAACTGTAAAAATAGAAATTAGAGAAAAAATTCTTTTTTATTGTTTTTCTAAATTTTTTCTTCATATTTTTTCTTTTTTCTTTTTTGAAAATTTTTTTCTTCCAATTTTTCTTTTTATATCGTTTTAAGCATATTTTTTCCTATTTCATTTTGAATTTATAGTGTAAGTATCAAGGCATACTATGTTTCCATTGATTTCAACCAAAGTCAGCACATCTCACGATCTGTTCAGTCGTTTCTGGCTCACAAATATGGGAAATCAAGGTATCTGAAAAAAAATTATAAATTAATAAAACGAATATTTAATTTTTGCTGTTTGGAGAAAAAGAAATCTTATATTAAATTAATGTATATCGCAATAACTCTGAAATCCTATTTTCTTCATTCTTTTATAAACATAAGCATCATTAAGCCAGTGGAAACGACCGGCTTTTTATTTATCAATGGAATTGGCCAGCATGCCTCAAGAATCTTTAGTAACACCAAGCCTTGCCGATTTCATCGAACAGTTAGTTGATGCTTTACCATCTGGAGTTATGACGAATTCTTCACTAGATGTGAGTTGAATTATGAATTCTTTTTTAATATATAAATCTTAAAACCATGCTCTTTATTTTACCAAAGAATCGTTACAATTAACTATTCCTGCATTCTAGTTATCTGTATTTAATCAGAGTAATGCGACAAGTCCTGAAGTTCCTATTGTCGAAATTGATACTTCAATTCTTCCTCTAGATATTCTGCTCTTTTTAACGGTTCAGTCATCCACCATACGATTCGAAGGACAGCAACAAGTAAATTTCATTTCATTTTATTTCACCCGTAATCTGTGATTTAAACATATTTAATAAATAAGTAATTAAATCAGTAATGTAAATCAGTAAATTAGTGGAATTTTCTGGTGTTTACAGCGTAGTGCTGCAGCCGATTGTTTATTGAAACTGCCATCTTTAACGCTTATGGCTTCCACTAGACCAATGACTGAGGGTACTGAAGGAACTGATATTGATTTAAGCGTTGGTGGAATCCATTTATCAGCAACTTTAAGCGCATTTTCTTTGAATGTATACAGTCCTCACCAGGTAAATTTATAACTTATAACTTTCCTCAATTTTAGCTTATTTCATCCACTTATTTTATTTCGATCATTTGTGGTTATTAACATTTTAAAAGATTAGATTTATTCATACTGTTGACTAGAAAGTTTAGTGCTTTAATGAATTTTTTTAATTTCGGAAAAGTATTAAAAATTCATTTAGCGGTCTACTGCTCACGATGCTTTATCACTGACATTGGATCATCTTTCTGTACTGATTTCAAGGAGCAAAAACAGTCGATTCGAAATTGATAATAAAGTGCAGGTAAAATTCAGTTCGAAGCTATTGGCATAGATAAGATTTATGTTTAATATATTATATGTCTCAGAGGGAAGGAGGAAAGAAAAAAATATTAATTAATTTTCTCCTGAGGATCTGCATATCCTTTGATTTTAATATTAATTCTCTTATATTTCTTTTTGTTCTAATGGATTATTTTTTTCGATTTTTTTAAAATTCCTTTATTATTTTGATTTTGACAGTTTGTTCTCACTGTTAATATTGGATCAGCCAGTTTCAATTATGATATGCGTCGACTTGCTGAGCTCATCTCTTTTCCAAAGCCATGGTATCGCCGTGCTATTGTTCACCGATTCTTTTTTGGTGATCGTTTTGTACGTACACCAACTCAACGTTCCTCATCGCCGATGAGCAAGCTATCTCAAGAAGAGTCTAACATTCAGTAAATTTTTTAAAAAATTTTTAATAACAAGAAAAGTTTATTGAGGTCTGTTTACGATTATAGAAAGATTATAGAAAGAAGGAATGGTGCGCTTCCGTGATTTTTGCTATCGAGTGGCGAGAATTGAATATTAATGCACAAATGGCCAACACTATGGGGAATACGAAGTTATGTCTTCGGGATGGCGTATTTCGAGGCCATTGTCAGGTAATTCTTTTCTTAATATTATCTGGCAGTCCCAAAATTGTTTCTTTATTTTATTGGTACTTTACTTCGTTATAAATCACTTAAAGAAAACTTTTTTTTAGTTAAATTCAAAATCTGAGAAGATTTTGATGATAAATTTCGGTTTGAAATCTGCCAACCTTTCTGCTTATGGTGGCACAATTTCTGGTCAAATATCAGTTAATGATCTTCTTATTACTTGTGAAAACAATATAATTTTAAATGTTTGTTTTTTTAATATATGAATTTTGCTTTCATAAGGTTTTTATTTTATTTTTCGAATAATTTCTTCACATTTATATGTATTTATACATTTATATGCATTGATACCTAAAAAATATCCAAAAATTTTCTTATAGAAACCTCCTAGAAATAGTGCCAAAATTAAATTGGCTGAAACTGAATGTCGCATAGAATGGATGAGTCGACCGATATTCATTGCACGATGTGATAAAGCTTCCATTATTATTCAAGATGATTGGTCAACTATTAAGGATGATACCGAACAAGTATGTAATTTTTTTTAACGCAGTTTTTTTTACGAAATTCTTTCAAACTCTCAGCTCTGTACTCTTTTACCTTATAGTCTGTTTTCAGGTTATCAAAGCATATGTTTCAGTTGCTTTAAACATTTCGTGGGAAGATTTACAGTTAATAATAACAAAGACTACCGTTGACGACTTGATAAAGATTGCGATGAAGCTTCGTTCATTTTTCCAGGTTTTTTTTTAATAGGAGAAATTTTGAAGATGTACATCGTGTAATGTAATAATATTATATATTACTCGAATCAAATTTTTTCCATTTTTTTTTGATATTTTGGTTTCAGGAGCAAATGAGAAATAGTCAGCTAGCTTGGGGGATTGTAAGCCCCCAGGTAAATGAAAATGAAATATTTAAAAGTGAAAATAATTTGAGACATGGGCACTGCCAGAAGTACAGGCATTGGCCATCCGTATTAGATACGTTAACTGAGATTCAGTCGAAGCAAAAAATACTTCCTTTGCCAAAAGGCAATGATGGTGTAACTGCTGTTGGTGGAATATTAGAGTTAACTGGTGGACGTTTTTCACTGGCTTGTATGAATGGAGAAATGAATGCTTCTAGGTTACTTTCATTTCTACAATTTTTTTTGAAAGAACTGTATTAAAATTAAAAACTAAAGGTGATAAAGAAGTTAAAAAATTAATTGTATTTCGATATTTAGATATTTGTGTGAAAATTTAAAATTTTGCTATTTGAATATTCGTTCTGTTCATTCAGTCTATTCATTGAATATTTGTTTTTTTACAGTTGGGCATTGTTTCACATGTTGCAACCATCCATTTTATTTGAACCTGAGGCACAGTATGCTTTTATCTCTGAAAAGAATGATGTAGGTGTTTCAGTAACGCAGCGTCTTACTGTTAGGCTGGGTGATTTATCGTCATGTCATTCTGCCCTGCATGAGACGAAGGCTTTAGTTTGTAGAATTCAGGTATATTATTAAATTCATTAGTTTACATTTATTTCGAGAACTTCTATAAAAGTTATTAAAACATTGCAGCAAAGCCGTGGTTGTATGGTTCGACAGACCAGTTCTATCAGTACTTATCTTGAACATATTATTGGAGATCCACTAAAGCAGCTCAGTATGCATCCTACAGATTCTAGTCAGCCAACTGCGCATCATTCTGTTCTTCAACTTTTTCAGTAGATTCTATTCGATTACAATATTTTTAAACTTTATTTTTGTGTTATCTTTGTTTATATATTAATATTTACTATTGTAGATTTATTATCAGTGTTAAAAAATCAAAAAAATTAGGGAAAAAATAGTAGTTTGTTCATTTAAATTTTTTTTTATAGGTTTCCTACTTTAGACGTAGTTGTATCTACATTACAGAAACAGGAAATGGAAATCGGTGATGTGGAAAATTTCATACCAGAAGTAAGATTTATCGGTAGTTGGTTTAAAAATTTTATTATTTTCTTTATATTCTTATAAAATTTCTTTGTTGTTTTATTCCTGTTTTATTTCTTTGTTCTAAGAGTTTTCGTCATTATTGGTTAAATTCGCTCCACTGGCTTGTCGCGTTGGACAAATATGCCAGAGATTCCCTTGGCGATAGAAATACAAGTAAGTCGCTAAATATCGGCGCTCTGAATTGAGCAACAACCCACTAAGCCATCCTATTTCCATTTACTTACGTATGTGTAATTTATTTGGAAAATATCAAGTGGTTTTATATTTTAAGCACAAAAACACTTCCTTCCAGTACAAAAGCTAAATGGCTCAGTGGGTTGTTGTAGTCATTTTTGAGATGTTGGAATAAAAAAATTATAAGCAGCCTTCTATCTGGGTGATGGTGACGATTCACCTATATTTCTGTCGCCAAGCTTCATGGCGAAATAAAGTATGATTTGAGAAGCTAATCTAACCAGAAATAACGAGCGTTATTTAAAAAATTTAAAAATGATTTTTTTGCTTTATATCGATACTCGGTTTTATGTTCATTTCAGGTTCTTAATTCTTTCATTTGTGAATTTCACGATACTGTAAATGTGCAAACAGATTTTAATGCTCAAGTCAGCTTCTTGCCTGAACTCTTGAAGACTTATATTAAAACACAGGTTTGCTGCTAAAATAATTTTAGCTGCCTATTATTTATATTTAGTTTAGATTCGGTGACTTTGGTTCTTGAAAAGTCATTAGTGGAGTAAACGTTTTTTAGGACGAAGATCTGGCGACTGTGCTATCTTTTTGAAAATTTGTTGTGATTTTTATTATCTACGACGTTTCTTGTAGGATCAAGCGAAAGAGGAGAGAGTTGCAGATATAAGTAGAGATTTTCGACGTTAGGACGAAGATCTGGCGGCTGTGCTATCTTTTTGAAAATTTGTTGTGATTTTTATTATCTACGACGTTTCTTGTAGGATCAAGCGAAAGAGGAGAGAGTTGCAGATACAAGTAGAGATTTTCGACGTTATATTTGCGAGAAATGGATTGTGGATCCAAAGATTTGTTTTATTGATCGTTTTAAATGGAATCCACCAGTTATTGATGAGATTTTAAAGAAACTGCAGGTTATTCATTATTTATTGGCAAAATTATGGTGCTAACATTTCATTTTTTTATTTAGATATTCGATCATCGACGAACAATTCCCAAAGCTTTTCAACGTGGAATTTTGGATCCTTGTGATGCACTTCTCGCGCAACTTAATCTCGCTGTTATGTCGATTGGAAAAAAATCAGCAAAATCAAATCGAAATTAGTTTATTAATTCCAATAAAATGTCGATATTTCTCGCTCATTTATATTGATATTTTTTAAATTGTAATTTAAAAAAGCTTTTATAGTATTATTAGTATAGTATTATTTATTTATAGTATTATTTATTATTTATTTATTAAACCATTATGCAAAATTCTTTTTCAACGGGTTTTTATCAGTTTTTGTTGATATGTCAATTTTTATGCTTTTTTTTGCTCATTTCATCTATTTTTCTGAGTTAGTATAGTCAGCCTATAGTTTTTTTTCGGTTCGTATTCACTTTAATAGTAGTTTTTTTTATCAAATGTTTGCTGTTCATGCATTTTACATTGGATTTTTAAAATTCTGCCTCCAATGAATATATAGGTTTTAATGATTTAAAAATTTTTACGAAATTTTGTATCTTAATTAATTTATATTTGGCTAAAGATTTGAATCTGATTATGAATTTTCATATTCCTTTGCTTTATAATTGTGCTTACTTTATTTGCAATTCAGTATGCTTTAAAAGCGAAGGCTTTGGTCAATTGAATTTGGTTTTTTCCAATGCCTTTCTATTTAACATGGATTTTATGCATTAACGGTGTTACGCTTACAATACGCTTTCAATAAATATGCAAAAATTTTAGTATCAGAATCTTTGCAAAAACATTGGATTATATTAAAAATATATTTTGCAATATTGGGCTCTTACCATTTTATTTAAAAAATATCAGGCAATAACTATGCTTATGTTAGCAGCAATAACATGAAACATCAGCACAATGGAATATTAAAAAAAAGCCAAAAAAATACTCGAATACTCATCGAAATTATTGTTGATAATTTATTAGATAATTTGTTATTATTATGTAACCCAAATATTATTTAACCCGCAGACAGGTTACCGTATCTTTAACCTATCTCCTTCAAAACTATTGAAAATTGGAGAAAGGTTTCATGGAATTTCATGCATTAACAGAACCAAACAATATTTTTATAAAGGAATCAAATCTCGCGAAGTTTTTCCAGTTTAAAAAAAAAGAAATGGTGTTTTCGTCGACGAATATTCAAGTAACGACTATCTTCCTAACTATTACATTTTTGCACTCTCTGCTTCAATTTTAGTTCCATTCGAATGCAGTAAAAAAAGACTCTTGGCATGCATATATGCATCATATCAATGAATTGACCATTATTCTTTTAAAAAAATATTTAAATATCAAAATGATATGCTTTTATCATCATCGTCATTTGGTTCTATGAGTTCTTCAATTGCGATATCTTCTTCGACATCTTTTTCTTCTGAAATCGATAGGTTAAATTTTAATTGTAATTGAAGCAGTAACGGAATTCGACTTGTGAGACAACTTTCCTATTTGCGTGGGAAATCAGTCACCCATTTCATAATTTTAGCTCAATAATCGTGAATAATTGTAAAATTTCAAATGTCTGAATAAAAATTTGCAGTCTTCTCGAAAATGTAATTTGCTTTACCTGTGGAACTTTGATGCAAGATTGCGTCAAATTTTTTAGATAGTTGAGTGGATGATTTCGATGCAAGCGAATCTTTTGCAGTAATCGTTGGCAAATTTGTTGTTGTACTGGGATTTGCTTCGCGCAACAATGGTAGCTTTCTTGGCAAAACTATTTTTGAGGGAGTCGCTTTTGAAGGAGGAGTTTTCGTCATGGAACTTTCAAAACTATAAATATTTGATGAAAATTGATGAATCTTTTAATCCCAAAGGAACTTCGGTTACTCAAAATTCCCAACAGAAATTTGAATTTTGAAAATTGGTCCATTCCATTAAGTTTAAATAAGCAAAGGAAAATAGTTCGATCTTTCACTTCGAGACGATTACAGTGAAATGAAATTTAAGTGGCTGCTGAGAGTACCCTTTTCTGACGAGATGATCAAATTCTTCTAGCAACTATTCCGAAAAAAGGTGCGTACTACTAAAAGAAAAAGAACCATTCATTGTTTTTCATAGTTAATAGAAATTAAACACTAAAATACCTGCTAGTTTCCGAATCACTCGATGTTTTGTTGGTTGGTACTTGACTGTTCTTTAGCTTCGAATACATTTGAGTTATCCTCGAATTCGGAAATTTCGGAGTATACGCCTCCAATTTCCAGTCAAAATCCGCCTTATTTTCCTTACTTTCTAAAGTTTTTGTCTTTTCCTCATTCTTTAATGTTTGTTTTGATTCTTCTATTGTCGGTTCTTCTTTATGAACCAAGAATTCGTCATATTTAGTTGTTTTTTTTAGAATATCTTTTTCTTGAAATGGTTTTCGCTCGACATTTACAGTAGTGTCATTCTTGGATATTAATGGATCATTCTGAGTTTCCTTATCATTTATTGATGTTTTTTTTATTTCCGGTGCTGGATCTGGTATTCTGGTGCTATACGATGCACTACTTGGTGTTTCCACGGTGCCATCTCTTGTTCTATCAAATGCTGATTTGATTGACTTTTCATCGGTTTTTTCCATAGAAGAATTTCTTGCATGCGGCTCTATTGTTTTTTGTCGTCTTATCGAATTCAATTCCATTCGTTCGTTTGCATCCGTTTTTATGAAAAATGTGGCTATATTCCTTACAATCTCATTGATTCGATTACTGTTCTTGTTTATAGAAATAATTTCTTCCATTGTAAGCAAATTCTAAAATCAAAATGATCTTGTCTGAACGTACTATTTTGATTATGGAAATATGATTTTTTTAAAGAGCCCTTACCATTGCTGATAAAACCCGCTCTTCTGTTTTATCGCACTAAACAAATATGCTAGAAAATCCTTTGGCGATGGAAGCATAGGTGAGTCGCCAGCATCACCCGGATTTTTTGACAGGTTTATTCCTGTGAGGAGTAGAATCTCCTTGGAGTAGCTCCAAGCTGAACGAGCCATAGAGCCATTCTGCTCTCCCATTAATTAGATATCAGCTAATGGTGATAATAGAGATAACCAAATTATTCGTTGCGATTATTCCTTTTCGTCAACTACCATTATTTCTCAGTTTTTCAGGATTCAAAATCACAATCGGACCTACCTCCCGGCATTCTTTTTCGAAAACTGCAGCTGTGGCAAGAAGGCGATTTTCACGAAGATAATGGTAGATTATCGAAAACGCCGCAGTTTTATTGGCATCGATTTCTCGTACACAGATATCATTTGTATCATTTTCTATCGCCAAATAAATAGCCGATCTTAATTCTGCCTGGAATTGGAGCAAAAAACCTAAAATATTCGAAGCAGCAACTTAAGCAGAACCAAAAAAATCGAAGTTAATGAAAAACGGAATCGTCCTATTTCTATATTTTAATAAAATTTGTACATAAATTTTTAATCAATAGATGGTCGATGCTTGGATAATCATCATCATTCGAATCCTGTAGCCCACGGGAAAAAGTTGCGTGCCATCAAGAATTCCTGTAGCTCTTATGATGCGGGGTTCAAATGTCTCATTTCTATCGTAAAGTGACTATTCCATTAAAATCTAATTTCTAATCTTAACAGTAGCCAGTGGAATGAGACTAATCCGAAATGGCGAACACCGGCAAATTACTTATTTGTTTGTATAATATATATTTATTATAACAAATTCTAGTGACCAAATTAATATTTTTCAAAAAAATTTGGGATAACAATGAAAGATTTTATGATGGGTGGCAAACCTTCACTTTAAATCATTTTTAAAAACTTACCTGAATCCGATCAAGAGTACCATTTTTCCGTAATCTGTCGACGATTTCATCCTTCAGGTTACACGTATCATTCATTTATGGCCTATTTCCATGGAAACGACTATATTTCGCAAAATGAAGCATGCGACCATTTTCGAAAGTATTTCGTTTCCATGCAACGAAATACACAAAATCTAATTTTAACTTACAATTAAAGCCCAAAAATTTAATCTTTCTTTATCTACGCTCGCTACTCACGTTCCACGTAAAGCATGCAAAGCTACAAACAGCGAAAATGAAATTTTACTTACTTACAATTTTATATGGCAATAAGATTTACTAAGGTCGTATTTATTACCATATATTTATTGAAAATCCATTATGTCACTTCATCTGCGCATCAGCGCATCATTAAGAAGGAATTGTAATAATAAAGCAATGCGAAGAGCTCTTCAATGACGTACTTGTCAATGGTTAAAGGCTACTTATTTAAAAAAAACATGTAAAATAGAATTATATAGTATTATTTTCATACATTTGGCTTATGGTTGCGTGTTAATATGTCAACAAGAATAGAATGGACTTCAAGGACTCTCACAGTAGGCATTGAGCCACTGAACCTCTTGTGCATCAATGTAAATTCACCTAAAACCAAAGTCTGCGCAATTCTTTTATCGTATTTCTATGTAATGTCCAATTGTTTTAGCTCTATTAGCGTTGCATTAATGAAATAACATTATTATTTATTTAAATTACCATTAATTTATAAAATATAATTGCATAATTTTATGGCAATTTTTATAGAATAGAGAAACATGAAGAAAGAATAAACTTGAAGCGAATCTACAAAAATTCCCAATCACTTTGTCAATCAAAGGAGAAAATAAAACAAAAATTTTGTGAATTGAATCGAAAAATAAAATTTAAAAAATATTTTAGCTTTTTAAATTTATTATTTAGCGATTTAGAGACAAATTCTCTGGAAAGTTTGATATTCATCGGTTGTGACTCTTAATGATTGGTTGATAAATGATTCGTATTGCAGATTTATTCGACCACCGTTTTGTAACAACTAAATTATAGAATTTTTGAACAAAATATCTGCTTTGCTTACAAATAGTGCTGATCACAAATCAAATGGTTTTCAACTAACTTTCTAACCCTAGCGACTATTAAATCTAATTGTTTTATTCCATTTCAGGCCAATATTATTATCGTTGTTATTTTTTGTAAATGTACCAGTATAAGCATTTTTGGACTTACCTCTACAATGCTTAAAATAATGCTATTGTATTTTATTAGATACTAGAAATCAATAGTGGAATACTGTGATAGACTAGAACAATATGGCTTGTTGCCTTCATTTTGCCAACTGCCTTCCTTTCTTTTTATCTTTGGATATTGGTGGCGGTCCAATTATAGCCAAGTGAGCAAATTTTACCTTATCAGACTCAAGTTAGCGGAATAAGGCTTACGAGAAATGGTGCGCTCTTGAGAAAAAGAATATGAATCGAGAACGTTTTTTTATATTAGATTCTGCTTAATTATCATTCTACCTAAGTTAATTTCAGACATCTTGAATGATAACATTCTTGATCTTATCAGGCAAAGAGTTCGGAAGCAATTGATAACATTTTTTTTGACAAAGAATTCTATTGTTTCTTATAATACTTATTTAAGGATAAGGTGCAATTGGTTATTCGGTAGTTCATCTTCTTTAATGCCTCTTGAGAAAACATTGATTTAAAACATTCCTTGACAAAGTGTAAATATGAAAACAATGCAGAGGCACCATTAACGTTTGATTAATTTCCGTCCAATAAGCCATAAAACCGACTTTCATGGTATGGTATTATTCATGGTATTCTATAGATAAATTAACAGTGGGGTGTCTTATACAATAATTCTCAAGTTTGCCAACATTATAAAATGAAAAGAGCACGCTTAAAAATAGTCATTGTTATTAATTTAATGGGGCTAATTGTCATTTATTACTTTATCAAAAATTTATATGTATTTAATACTTTATTTAAACCGAAACTATTCAAGATATTTATTAGAGTACCAAAGACTTCATTTTTCGAAGTTCCAAGAGAGGGAACTAAAATATTAAATTATTGATCAATGTGAAATTCAACCTAAGGAGAAATGGAATCTATAAAAGCCTTAAAAGAAAATCATAAGGTAAATTTTTGGTTGGAAAATTTTTTGATTTGCGGGACAATTCTTAAATTTTTGTTAGATTCCTTGGAAGAAGGAAATATTTACAATTTCAGAACTTGTCATTTCCTTCTTAAATATAATATCATATATTTCCTATAATATAATATAATTAAATGTAATATAATATATAATATTAAATATAATACAAATATAAAATATTTCCTAGAAAGGAGAAAAATACCAATTCACTTATTGTATAAGAAATTTGAGATTAAAAGAACTAGAAATATTAGAAAAATTGTTGCATAAAATCATTATTAAAAATCATTGACAATTATGGTTAACGTTAATGATAATTTTTGAAGGAATAAACTGAATAGTTTATTGTGACGAATGTTGGTACCACGGTCGGCAAAGACCATTTAGCTTGCAGAGATGCCTCTTCGCCCTTTCTTCAAATTTCTGGAAGATTTGTGCCTAATTTATTTGTTGTTTAATGATATTTTTTCAAACTGCCATACATGAATTCTTGTTGTTATTGTTGTTGTGAATTAATTTAGCGGAGAACTACTAAATAATATTACAGGAAACTCAATTGAGGGTCGATTATAGGCATTTAAAAGAACGAATAGCCTGTATTATAAAATGCATCATCTCGTTGGGCGAACATCGACAACAGTGGTTATTAGGTATATTTACTTAGAAAACTCTATTGTCTGAGGTCTGAGGTTTTTATCCGGTCTTTCTTCGTAGTTAAGCTGATTTCTTTTCTTCTTCACACGCGTAAATATCGATGTTTGCATAACGATTACAATGAGCTGACAAGCCTCTTATGCGATAAAAGCTGACTATATAGTAGTATACGGTAGCAAGATATATTGATGTTTGCCTTCCTGGAGGTTTTTCACACGAAATGCGTGTAATGTGATACATCAAGGTAATTAAAAAATAATGCAGTAAAAGAGAGTTGTACCATTTTAGTCAACTAAAAAAAACTACGGTAGCCCAGTCTAAATTCGGACAAATGTACAAATTCGGTTAAATGGATAAAGTCCTTCTTCTTTACTTTAAGAAAATATTAATTTCTTTAAGAACAGTTAATTATACGTCCCTTGCTCTAAAAGCTGATAATTCGTGATAAATTCTATTTAATACTGTGAATTCTTCTTTATAAAGTTCTATATAGAGTTATTATCGCGTCGAATGGATGCCTGATTAGTGATTAGAGATCTGATTTTTGGTAAAGAGAAAAGAATTTCATGTATCGTCGTTCGATTATAATAAAATTTCTTTAATTGTTTCTAAATTTCTAACTGTCATTTATAATTATTTGCGTGAAAAGATATAAATGGTTTGAATAAATAGACATATATATTTGACAATTTAATTACTAGGTACACCTTTCGGATGACCTAAGCAAACATTTTCGGGATGATCTTCATCCATTCTTAATTATTCTTAAAACGATAATAATAGAACAGAAAGATATACCATAATATACTTTGGGAAATATATTTTGAGTTAAAACAAACACCAAATGCTGCAGTTCATCGCTGTCACACATCTTTTCACACATCACTTAACTATGTAAACATTATTATTGCTTCAAAAACAAAAAAAATTCCTGGAAATCATAAAATTTGCCTACCATCATTAATTATTTATAGTAATGCTGGAAAAAAGTGAAGAATGTGCAAGGATTTGTCATCCATCAATCGTTATCAGTAATCGAATACTATAAATTGATTAACTTTCAATAGGCATACCATAAGCACGAATATTATCGCGAATACATTTATTAATTTTAACATATATTAAAATAGATTATAGTAGCCTATTTGATTTTTATATAAAATAAGATATATATATATATTTCCTAAATATTATAATTCTTGTCCAATAAATTTAACTTTATTAATCTTTTGCAAAATTTTAGAAATGCTTGAAAATCTAGAAATTAGGTAACATAAAGTGAACATTAAGTTAGTATATAATACGTGTATCTACATGCTTATTACAGCTAAGCAGAAAGCATTCGTGAAGGAATGTCATCCAAAATTTCGAAACTTGAAATGGCTGTTAGGTTTTCCGTAAATTACCAAAACCTTTACAAAATGCAATTTCTGCACCAACCATTATATATTTTATTTCCAACCGGTTTGAATAATTCACTTTTAGAAAATTATCCACCGTTTTCTAACGATTTTTTCTAAAAAAAATTTTCAAATTTTTACCAGCTAAACATTTAGTTTGAAATGCATAGGAGGCAAATGGTTGCGACGGTTCCAGTAGATCAACAATATTTCATGTGATGTGGTGAATTAGATCTGGTGAAATTTGGTGGTGCATGTAAGGAGTGTCGAAATGTGTTTAAATGAAAAAATTTTATAAAAATAGTGTTTTTTCGTTTTATAAACCCGAAAAATAGAAAACGTAAAGGAGAAAATAAATTTGCACGTCTGTCGATTCAATCAGACGTTAATAATTAAATTAACTTTGATAAACTATTTGGTGGTTATTGAACTAACGGCAATGAGAAAATCGTCGTTATGGAGCAACATTCCAGTTTCATAATCGTTTCGCTTCACACACTAAATACCCATAAATCCTCAAATCAATTACGTCGCCTTAATTACCGAAATTCATTTATTAACATTAACATTTCAATGATAATTCCATTTTGATTTTTAAATCTATTTTACGATTCATTTTCAGCAGCAGCAAATATGTGGATTGCATGAAATAATTACCTCAGCATTAGATTTTCGCAAGAAACTATAAATTTTCAGCGAAAAATGAGCGCTAATCTGATTCAAATGATTGCCTGACAGTAAAACTTGTTAGCTATTATTTGCTTTAGAAAAAAAGTATTAAAAATGAGAAATTTTTTTTTAAATGAAAACGATTCACTATGGGAACATAAGAAATGAAGATTGCGAAGATTCGCTGGCAGTTTTATCTGACTGCTAATGAATTCCGTAATTTTAGGCTTTGTGCCGATTTCGGAATATGTTTCCACATATCGAGAATTTCATCATTGTGCTAAGCTTTAAAGTTAAATAAAGGTTTCATTAAAATATATAATTAAAGTACTAATTTAATGAGTTCGTTTTTTAAGTTTAGTAGACTAAAAGCTCAAACTATTATTAATTTGATTTTACTGGCCATTAAAATAAGACATTTCCAAGCTTGAAAGTAACTGAAATCGCTCTTTTTTTGTTACCATCTGCACTCATATATTACTGGGCCAAGTATATATTCAAAATCTCCTTTGACTATATTGGTTTTCATTTTCCTTCTGGCCTTGACATTATCTATCAGAGGCTTTAGCAAGTAGAGAGATAGAAGTCAATTCCTACGATGGACAATGATTTCACCAATTCTTTATTCATTTTATTTCGAATCTTTCATGAAAATTTTTTTAAAAATTTCTATTTTTTATAGTCAATAATGCGATACACTTTATTTATTTATTGCAAGTATATATATTTATGAAGTATGAAAAAATGGGAACGAGCGCAGAAAGATAAAAAAAAGGTATTTTAGGCTGTTAATAATAGAAATAATAAAATAATAAACTTACTAAAACGAAATAAAAAGTTGATAAATTAATAAAAGTAGAAAATTAAAAAAGAAAAATAAAAAATTAAAAAAACTTGGGAATTCAAAAAAATTTTGCATTGAAAAATTTTGGAGGATTTTGGAAGAAAATATTTTAATGAATAGATTAAATTTTAAAAGCCTAAATTCAAAAAAGATTTAAAATTTTAAAAATTTGAGAAATTCGGATTTTTGCAATTCTAACTGCAAAAATATTTCTTTCTTTTTAATTGCTTTAATAATAATATTTATTGAGAAATTTATTGAAAATATTATTTTTAATCATTTTAAATTAATTAATATGAATTTTAATGATTTTATCTTAAAAAATTTTTATTGATTTTCCTTGGATATATTTGAAGAGATCAACACTAATATAGTGAATACATCATTTGTAAAAATTCTCGTTATTCTCGTTAATGTGATTTGTTCGAGAGTAAATGTTTGGATAATCTTGAATTGAATAGGTTCATTACAATGAATGCCATTTGTATTACGAATTACTACTTATTAGTACAATTGAAAGCAATATAATGCCTAGTCAGGTGCCTTATACTACAAAAAATCCTTTCTCGCCAGGTGTTTTCCTGTGGTAAATAAGGACAGAAATTATTTACAACTTTTATAGATAAGAGAGATTTTAAATTTTTAAAATTAAACTTTGTTTAAAAAAACTTCCATTCCAATTTAGTGCAGTTCGAAAAATTCGATTTTTGAAATTTAAGTTGAAATTTTCCATTAAATTTGAAATATTCGGATATGTTGGAATTGCATGAACTATAATATATATCCGATAATAAGAAACTATCATAATTTTTTCCACTTTCATGAAAACAATAAAATATGGAAAAAAAAACCAAAATCAGAAAGCTATATTAAAAAAACAAATGACAAAGAGTTGTCAAAAAAAGTTTAACTAAATATTGATTTAAAATTCCAATTCCAATAGTAATCCAGTAAGTATATTTGCAAGTATATTAATATTGTTATCCAGTTTTTCGCTCAAGATTTACAGAAAGAACGAGGAATCGAATCCGATTAATTGTTCGCACCGCTTATGAGCAATAACCAATCATTTAAATGATAAAAATAAGACGTACTGGTGCCAAAAAACATATATATATTTTACTAGAAATGAAAATACAATTTAGCAATTGGAATGTTCGAAATGCATAATTAGAATCATAATAAAAATAACAAATAAAATTTTTAATATCTACAAAAAAAAGCTTTTCTAATATTTTTTTTCTCTTCAGATTTTTGGTTCTTAAGTAATACATTCTTCTGTAATACATTCATTCTATTTAATCCTTTTCTTTTCTTTTAATTTCTTTTAATTTCACATAATTTGTGTTGTTTTAAATGGAAATGATTGGCTGAAATTGTCATTAGCAAGGTCTGATTAAATAAAATAAAAGCGAAGGTATGAAACCTAAAAGAACCTAAAAGTAAAATAATTTTGCTCTCCCACATATTAGTTTAAATTTCAAGTAAAATACACAGGAATGATTACCAGTAGCAAAATGACCATCAATCGTCAAAAAGCTATATTAAAAAAACAAATACAAACGTAATAATTGCGCAGGTAACGAAAAACTCGAGTGAATGGGTATTAGAAAGTGGTGACTTTCTAGTGGTGAAAGTGGTTTTAGGTGACAGATAAATTTATTTTTTCAAACTTTCGCCCAGGCTCAATCTTAAGAGGGAATTATTGGAGAAATCGAACAAATTTAAGTTCAATATTCACAACGATGATCAAGAATAAAGTCTAAAAACTAAACTACGCCGATTAATCAAAGTAGAGATCTTTCTGAAAATCCCTGAATTGATTATTATTTACAGCGCTGTGACTACTATACTCTATGTATAAGTTCAACATTTTTTGTGTCATCACTTCGATTAACCCGTCGTTTTTTGGAAATAGATTTGGAACTTCCCTCATCGTCACATAAATTATTGTCTGATTCATCAGATTCAGCATTTATTTTTCCTGCACTACCGCTTCTCAGATTCACTTCACGTTTATGCTTTCGATCTTTTGCACGTCGATTTTTGAACCAAACCTAAATAATGATCTCATTTTTATTGGATATTTTCATCTATCTTTCACCTCAAATAAATGTTTTTGCTTTTGGAATTGGAGCAAGTGAAGAAAATTTGTTTAATTTCTACCTATAAATGTTATATTTTTGATATTTTTAAAAATGAAAACGAAGAAATTATGAGGCCAACTTTTTTTTAAAAGTTATAGCCAACCTCGACCCTCTCTTCTTTTAAATCACACTGTAAAGCCAATTTTTCTCTTAACATTACATCTGGGTAATGAGTATTCTGGAAGGCACTTTCCAGTATTTGTAATTGTTCTTCGCTAAATATTGTCCTATGTCGCCGTTTGCGTTTTCCATTAAAATGCAAATGATTGAAGGGAGAAACCAAACTCGCATTAAAGTAGGAAACTGTTGGCGCTGGAAAACAAATTTTTTTACTGAGATTTTATGAATTTTTTTAGAAAATGACTTTTATAAAAAGTTAGCTATGTCGAATTTTAGGAGAGAATAAGTCTAATAGTGGTGCAATATTGCACTGTTCTACTTTTAATAGAAAAGTTCCTAATGAATTAGATTTTACATCAGTTCTTAAACGCAGCTTGTCCACTTGTTATTTTGATAAGGATTGAGTCTTGCAACACTCTTTCATGGAAAAAAAAATTGTGCCCGAAATTGAAAAAAAGGTATTTGCGTTTAAAGACTATAGGTGAAAAACAAGCATCGAAGAAATTTTCTTATGTAATTTTCTTATGTATGTAATAATTTTTAAGTTTTTTTTCGAATTCGACAGTACAAAAAAATTGAGAAGTATGAAAAAATAAGTGAAGAAAAATGATTATGGAAATGATTATGAAAGAATAGAAAAACATTCATGAGAGTAGGTTTTTAAAAAATTTGTTAATTCACAGTAATCGCCAATCGTAAGCGTCCAAGCAAATTTAGCCAATGTCTTGAAACGTTCTGGCGGACTAATTTAATAATAAAAAATTTCAATACTTTCATTTGATTATTAGAAAATATTGTTGCGATTTTTCATTGTTTTTTTTTCTAATAAACATGTTATATAAATTCAAATAAACATAAAGTTGAACAATAAATTCTTGAAATTTTTCTCAACTAAAATCGTATTGCCAAGTAATTCCATGATAAAAATTCCAATATTAGAACACTGGTCCTATCCAGAAATGTGCCAATATTAAAGAGCTAAGCCGATAAGCAATTTGGCTATAAATCATTCTTGAGTCTTAATAAAAACATTCATTTGTGCTTTAATACTCGAGATTATTTCAATTAATTGAAGCCTATCTCGGTCCATCCTGGAAAAAATTTGAAAGGCGATATAGAATGAAAGGTGGATACAAACATATTAACTGATGAAAGGCTAAAATTGAAAATATTTTTTTTTTTTTTTACAGAAATTATGTTCTAAGAAAATCAGCAACGATAACAAGTGGAGAGCATCTTAAGACACTTCTAACTTATGATAATAATAAACTTGAATTTTTCATAAAAATATTTTGATATTGAGGAACTAACGAATGAATGGAAAATGTGGTGGAATGGGAGTCCATGTCGAAGAAATGATATCAGTTGTTGCTGGAAGAGTCGATGATAACTGCGTTGGTAATTTTGCGGAAAGGATGTTCTCGATTGAAAAATTCGAGCAATTTGAGCTAAAATTAAGATATTGCAAAACAAAAACAATTTTTTAAAACAAATTTCAACTCTATCATATTCAAATCATCTTGATTAGCAATTGATGAACAATTATTTTATCCTTTTGTCCATACTTCATTTTTCTTTTATATTTATATTCATGAAATTTCCAATGGGTTCAAGAAAAATTCTATTAATTGTATGACTAAGGTTCCTTTAATTAATATTAACAGAATGATGAAAAGTTGAATGAACTAATGAACTAAGAGCATGAAAACATAAAAATCATCTAAAATATATAAAATATAAATATCATGTTAAAAAAATGTAAGCATCGAGTATGAGGTGAATAATGTGAACATAAGGTAATAGTGAGTGCAGAATGGTCTAATATTCCTTCCCCTGGAGCGGAGCTTCATGAGTTCGGTCTCTGTCTTTAGAATAATTTTTGATAATTTTTTTTAGTATTAAAAATGGGATTCTTTTCTAAACCCCTTTATAAAGCTTAGTGACTTCATGGCGAAAGATTCAATACGATCAAACAAAGTGAAGAAATGGTGAGCTTTGTGAGGAAGAAAGTGGTAATAATAACATTAATAATAGATAATAAATAATAATAACATTAATATTAGATAATAGATAAACAAATAACAATGTTAGATAAATGTCAAATATTAATAATATTAATGCTAATATTAGCGAAATTTCGATACAAATATTAAGACAATAATCATACTGTGATAGCCAATATTGATAGTGATAAACTGGAAATTCCAGCTTAGAAAAAACCACTTCAAAAATACGAAACATAAAGTGCGAATAAATAGAATTTAATAGAAAAAATGCATAATAAAGAAGGTTGTTTTTTTCAGAACCTATGAATCTTTTTCATCGGTTAAATAAATAATGAATTACCTCGACGATGTTGGAAATGAATCCAAATAGAGTCGATATCGTTCAGTTGGTGGAAAATAATATGGATATGGAAGGGACATTGTAGTCCACCTCCACGTGCACCTTCCAACGAATAAGTAAAAAGCAAATTTGCTTCAGTTGTCGAAAATTTTGCTACCGTTTTCGGTTGCCGAATTTATTTTTCACCCCGCCCATGCGGTAATGTGATTGGTTATTATCATTTAAGTCGAAATTTTACAATTGCTCGCTTCCCACTCGAAATAGAGATCGAACCTTAACCGATACTATTTACCCAATTATTTATCCAATATTTTATCCTTTTTTATTTACTTTTCCTATAAACTATCAGTTCAATCCATTATTATGCCCGTTATACTTTTTTCGACATCTCTTATTGAATTATCTGATCCTAAAGAAAAATATTTGTAGGCAAATCCTTTATAAGTAATCTTTGTTCGCCATTATTGAAATAATTTTATCGGCGAAATGTTAATCTCATATTTAAGTGTTTGAATGAATTATTTCTATAAACGAAAATATTTGTAATTATTATTATTTTTTTGCATTCTTTGTTTGATTTCTATATTATTTCATTTTCTTGCACATATAAAGTAAAATTCACCAAATTCTCTTGAAAAATTGTATTGAAAGCAGACATATCGAATGGTGCTGGGAACCCATCTGTACTTCTATCTCAATTGCTCTTTTTCACATTAATAACCAGTGGAGCCAAAAAGGATGAGAGCTATATGAAAGAAAGAAGCCATAAGCGCTAATGAACTGGAACTGCCATGCACTATTTTGGGTTTTTAAAGATGTATTTTTTGTGCGCCGATAGTCAAATTCATTCAAATTGGCTTTTGATTAGTTCACATTTTGGTTCCCGGATTAGCATTTCCAGACCTCATGGCTCTTTTTTTTCAAATCAGCTTAAGATCATTTTTCAGCTGCTTATTTACGGTGTTCATGCAGAGTAGCAATCGCAAAAATTAAATTTTATAATTGGCACCAAGCATTAATTTTCTATCATTTAAATCCATTTTCAGTACTATGTTTAAAAAATTTTTAATTAATTAACAGTATTTTTCTATTTATATTATCGACTAACGAATAAATCATGAAAGCCAAGGAATTATTACTTTGCTACCAGCGAAATATAGCATGAAAAATTTCAAAATCCTGGTTGAATATTTTGAATAAATTATAAATAATTTTGCAATAGTTAATTGCAGATTGAGGTATAATAGGTCACAAGTTGTTGCTCTCATTTCGAAGCGCTGATATTCAAATGGTGATTTTAATCTGCTAATTCAGTAGTTCTTATAATCTGGTGCTGCCATCGAACATGCTACTGATGATAAGACTTATGATAAAATTGAATCAACAAGTGCTGATTCTGCAAGAGTGAAAAGTATACTTATATTGCCAAGTGATTTCCTAGCAAAATTTATTGGTCCTAAGAGAAAAAGCCTTTAAAAAAAAAGAAAAGTCACACATGTCTTTACAAGTCTTTAGAAAAAAAGAAAAATCACAAATTACTTGGCCGTTCCTTCCTAGAATGACAAATTTATCATTTTTATTGCTTTCGATTGTGGTACTTTTTACTTTAATGACAATGAAGTTTAAAGTTTTTTCTCATTTATTTTATGGTATATTTTTTCAATATAAGTTGTAAATCCCACAAAATATGCGTTCCTAATTAGTGCTTGACACCTGCCTTACAAGTGCATTAGTGGTCTTATTTGATAGCCGATTTTTCCTACTAATCTTCTGTAAAGAATAGAACCTTAAATTAAAAAAATAAAGAAATTTCAAATTATTATCTCTATCAAAGATTAATTTTGTTTGCGAATTTCCGTATCTTCGATAAAAATGTTTAGTTGTTGATTATTAATGATTATTGTCCACTATTTTTCGCAGCTTTCCATGGTTAATCAATGAAAATTACGGTAAATCTCTTCAGATGAACTTTTTTCTGGTACATTAATTTGTTTTCTTATACAGCTGCCTATTCTTGATATTTATACTATGTCCATTAAGCAAATGTCGGTGACGAATATCATCTTTTATATTTTACCAATTTGATCTTTCCAATTTTTAAATTTATTGTTGTCAAATCACCTTATCAAAATTTACCAAACTGGTTAAAATCTCACAAATTGATTTCTGATAATTTTAAATGGTATTATTGTAAAATCGAATTACCACAATTCAGTTTATCCTTGAGAAAGTCTGAGAAAAACTGGAAAAAATTTGCCTCGGAATTTTCAGCCCTAACCTTAATGTCATTTCTTTCGTTATTAGAATATTATATTATTTTTATTAATAATATTATTTTTATTAAATTAGTTTATTTTATAGAGATATTTTCGAAACTGTATAGTTCATCAGTATTGTTTTTTTTATGATAATGAAAAAATGCGAAATCTTGTGAAAATCAAGTCAAAGAGTATAATTTCACTACTATAAAATTTGGTCTAATAGCAAGCTTAATCCATTAAAGGAAGTCACTTTTGTTGCCCGAACCTCATTTGATAATAAATTCAAGAAGGATAACATGGTCGTTTAAATATTGCTGTAGATAAGATTAAACCAGTTTTCTGCCCTTTGATGGAAGTAAAATTATTAAAATGGAGTAGAGGTGACTGAAGAGCCAACTGTACTTCTTCCCACTAGTACTTCTATGCTATCCTAGTGGCAAATGCAACCAAACAAGTCAGAAATATAGATGAATAAAAAGTTATTTACTAATGATTAATGGTGATTAAATGTGCTTTAATTTCGAAATTCATTTTCTCTCCAGAATTTCACCATCACTTTGCACCATAATTTCACTTCCAATTGTAAGAACATAAATCATTGATTTTGGAAGGGAAAGAAAAATCCAGTTTTTAAAGTTTATTGGATTAATTTCTTTTTAATTTCCGGCGTATTTTACATGAAAACATGCTTCAAGAAAGAAATACCGTAATTACTGTATATCGTTTTAAGTCTTTTAAATTTTTATTTTACTCTTTTTACAACTTTTGGCTGAATTGACCGAATTAAATTTTAAAAAGGCTACTATCTATTTTTTTAACGAAAAATCTTCCACTAACAAATATTCTTTCATCAATTTTTTCTAATATTTTATCTTTTAATGAGTTATATTTTATATTTTATAATATTCTATTATATTCTATCTTCAATTTTCCAAAGTTTACTTTTTTTTGGGAATAGTGGGCAGATTTAGGATTTATAATAATTTAGGATTTACAATACTAATATTTATGATGCTAAATCTTAATAATCTTATATTCCCCTTGTGCTAAAAAAAATCGAGAACTGGTTTTTCGTTTGCTGACCAATCAACTTTCTATTCATTTTTTATATTTTTTCTTGAGTTTAACTATTTATGTATTTGGCTGCGACTTTTATTTTCATTTCGATAAGATTAACATTTATCATTCCCCTTAAGTTTGCTCCACTGTTACGGCTAGAAAATTTCACTATGGTGCCACTTATGGATGCTGGTGGGGTGCCAGTATTACTCGTTGTAATATATAAATATATTAACAAATCTGATTTTTGTATTTATTTCTTTGAAGATGGCTCCATTATGGCTTCTACGCAAGAATGAAACACATATTCCTGAGAGGTTGTAAATTTCTATTAGTGAGACGAAGATTTATCTTAAGCAAGTGCTTAAATTCTTTACCACTATGAATATTAGAAAGTATCATTATATGTATCATTATCCAGTTGATCTGATGAAATATTCCTAGAGGATTTCCCCAAGATGCATCGATTGTCAAACCAACTTCTGATTTGTGATCAATGCAGAATTTTATTCGAATAAAGTTGAAATTCTATTGCTAATGCTAAAATTGGCAAATTTCTATTAAATAAAAAATCATTTTTACGTGAATTATTTCGTCATTGTTTTTTAAAAAAATTTTCCTATTGCAAAATGCTCATAAAACAATCGAATACAATTGAAAAACTTAATAAAATAAAATAAGTAAACCACGATCGACGACGTAATAATTTCTTTTCACTTTGCCGTGATTTACGCTTCAGTTCACATCGATCATCAACGATCACTTTTAGTCAGATCAGTAAATTAGAAAAAGACGAAAATTATGATGCGATCATCAGATAATGGAATATGTTTCACCAAAGCTAAATTCTCGGAATTAGTAAGTTAAAAATTTACCCTTGGTTTTTCATACAAATTTATCAAGCATTTTACTAATAATTAAACTATCTAATAAATCCAAGGTCGAGTCCGATTTCTGGCATCCACTTTTTGCTCCTCTTCCCTCGCGAGCAGTTATAATAAAATGTATTCGGACCTAAGCAAAGTGAATTTTGAAATTATTGTTATAAGAATTAGCAAATAAACACCGAAAATAAAGCAATGCATTAGTGAACTAAAATCACCGTAACAAAGAGGCAAATTTATTTGTGAATTGGATCGATCTAAGTGTATATCTTAAATATCGCAAAATGCATGAAAGATGAGAATCAATTAATTGTGCAAATTCTAAATGGTCAAAATGACTGTTGACAGTGATAAATTTTTATTTATATAAGGAATAAAATTAAGCTCGAAAGTATTAACCGCGAATATCTCTAATAACAATATATTTTACACATTACAACCACATCTAACAATAGTTTAGAATTTCCATGAATTTCCATATGTTTGATATTTGAAGAATCGGTTGAATAATATATTTCTGGAATTGAGGCTAAGCAAAATGAACTTGTTTCCAGGTCGTTATACAGCACCTTTCACAAGTGAATCTGCGACGGTAAATTTAAAGTCCTCGCTGTTTTAGTATGTGCTGTCAATCAAACCAGAAATGACTAATGTTATTGGAAGAACGAGACGAACAATAATTACAGTATTTTTGCAGTTTAATAATTATTATTGTAATTTAAGTGTTATCATGTTTCCAATTTTTTTGAACATGCATATCTTCGGCTGGACTTCGCAGAAGAAATTCTTTGATGGTCCTCGATATAAATCTTCATTTAAGCGACTTAACCAAAAAATGACCTAATTGAACATTAATCCGACGTCGACTGAGAGACGAAAAGGTGTTTTTGCCTATATTCTTCGAAAAAGAAATTCCTCTCTCATAGCCATAGAAGTTTTGATATACATTATGGCACTTCAATTTTGGCTTATGCATTGGTCCACTAAGTAACGTTACGAGTCTTCTGATCCCAACATGGCGATAATATATCGTTCGATCTCGAAATGGCAGATATCATTTTAAGTGATCCATAAGTGATTTGTTTAAAATAGGATTTTTTTTTTAATAATTTATTTAATTTGAAAATTTCTTTTCCGTCAAATAATTTCATATATTGGAATAATCTTTTCTTATTGAATCTTACAGCGATATATAAGATTCTTATATGATTTATAAGATTCTTAATTTATATTTGGCAAGGAAGAATTTCCATAAATTTATTGAATAATCAGAAATCATAAGATTTACCAAAACGATTAGAAGACGTCAAAAAATTTCGTCAGCCCTTTTAAAAATTTATCAATATTATCGCTAAAAATTATCAGTTTGCAATCTTATTGGCTAAATTTGTTTCTCACTTAAGCTTAATATTTCATATTTCTCACTTTTTCCCGATTATTCCTGTAAGATTTAATTCGAATTCCGCTTGAAAAACTTCAGTCATTATTGTATTAAAGCTTTATTCTACACAATGTCTATATGAATTTCAACTCTGCAAAAAAACGAATTTATTGCAAGTCAAATAAAAATTAATAAAAAATTGAAAGAAAAAAACCCCACCACTTCGTCAATTCATCATAAACTATTTTTCATAACTAAACAATTCTTTCAAACGACCTTTACTATTGATTAGCAATTCTCAACAAGTACCATTATTATGATATGATTTCATACCTTATTTATCAATAGAAAAATTATATAAAATGACTATCTGTAAATATATAAGTGTCATTTTCCATTATGAATAACAATGTATGAAAATCGAAATAATCTACAATAAAGTGCATCTTTACTGAAATAAGAATGAAGAATGAATATATAAACATTCATAAAAGCAATTATTATTAGGAATTGGCTGCTCTAATGATTTGAAACTGATTAATGATAACATTGATGATAATAGCTGATAACAAAAAATAATAGTAAACTGGGTAATTCTGAGGAAATAAGGATAATGAATTTAATTCTATCTAAAGAGTTCTCAACACTTTTAACTTGAGGTTATTAAATATAAATACGATAATAATAAAACGCTTTGATAAGCGGGTTCCCATGATTTGCAACTATTTATGGGTCAGTGATGATCTCTTTACTTTTCAATTAAATTTGCGATGGCCATCTAACCAACTGACAGATGTTCCCTCAAATCCTATAATAACAATATTTAGATACATTCAAGTTGATGCTGTTCATTTGGTCCGCAACAATATTGTGCAAATGGAAATTGGACCTAGCAATTTCGGCCACTCGGCTTTTTTTGTAAGATTAAAGTCAAATGTCTCTATCCGACACGATGATTGCCACAAATCTAAGGCATAAAGAGTCAACAAACGAGCTATAACAAAGGGATGGAGAAAATAATTGGGTGAGAAAATAGAAAATTGCAACAAATAAATGATTTTTAGCCTGGAGTGCTAGCCTATGGGCTGAAAGGTTTAAGCATGAATAACAACAGTTCAAATCTCCAACGTAGAATCACCATTTCCCTCATTTATTGATAAAAAAATAAAATATTGCTAATAGTGCCTAAGATTGCCACCAAAAGATATTCAGCTAATCACAGATATTTTCATATTATCTCTTGCCTATATTTTCTTTTTATGCACATTTTTATAATTAAAATATTCAGAGAAGGGATCCATAGGTTCCATCTCAAGATCAAGGACAGTTTTTAGCTAGTTCTTTACTTTTTATCTAGTTCTTTTTACTATATTTTTATTTCTTTTACTTTATTTTTTAGTTCAGCTGGCTGCTAGCACTGGCATTTAGCACTACTTCAAGAAAACAATCTTGGATGGTACTTCATTCTTTATTAAGAGTTCGATATTTAGAAAAACTATGGGCAAATATTCCATGCGTTAATTACGATAAATCATTCCAATTTTTTTTTCAATTGCTTAGTCTAAAAGATATGGGAAATATTTATGGCCACAGGCAAATTAGGTCTATATTGGGTTCGTTTGTTTTCACCTATTATAGTCTAAGTCTCAAAAAATCTAAGAAAATTCTAAGACGATAGAAATAAAGAGATTAATTATTTATTAATTATATCTAGTTCACATACTAATTGCTATTTATTCCACCTGAGCAATCGAAAAGGACATATTTAGCACGTCAGTTTATTAAATATGTCCACCAGAAGTCCTTCACTCCAATGATTGATTTTTTTTCTTCATTTTAACCATTTCACACCGAATCACAGAGAAACCATCGCTTACCTCGACAACATCATTATTAGTGCCTAATGAAGCGTATTAAACGTCGGAAGCTCATCTTAAATCTACTCAACTACTAATGTCACATCATTTACTAAATTATTTACTACTAAATGGATAATTGAGTAATAAGGAGATTGGGAAATGGTTACTTAACATTACCATGATCTAAGTTTTTTTTACGCAATTTCTTCCATTCTAAAATAATTTTCCCTTTTCTTACGCATTATTTTATTTTATTTAGCATTATTTAAAAAATTTTTTTAAAACTGGTTATATTCAGTGATAAGAAGAAAAATCGATTAAATGTGGCCTTCTATTATGCTACAATAAAAATAATAAGATGACTCAACAATATTTATAAATACTTATATAAAACACCACTTCTGTACAATCTATACTACATGCAATGAATTCCGACCACTTAACGTCAATAAAATGGAAATAAAAACTGCTGCATCTTTTCAAAATTTTCTGGTGCAAAGGCCATACAGAACGTCTCACCCTGGTGGCAAATACAGCCAGCCAAATCAGAAAAAACACATGCTATTTGAAGATCTTAGATATATAAAATTCAATAATCAAGACCCTGTTAATATATATGGCGCTATTTTCATAATTTTCTCCACAGTTTTAACATCAGGCAATTCAAAGACGAACTGCTGTTCGGTAACAGGGATTAATAAAGGCGAATATAATAAGTCATTGAAATTTACATCACAACATAGATGGCTTTCTCTCAATTCTTTCTGATAGCGTTTAAATGTAGGAATCTGAAAAAAAAATGATAATTTGCTACGTGTATAAACAAATGTTATTAGGTTTATTAAGCTTCATGACAAATTTCCACAAATCTTCAAAAATTTCTCTAAAAAAACCACATAAAGTTAATATTTACGAAAAAATCTTACTAAATCAAAGTAAATTTCTTGCGAGAAAAGGATCGATTCCAATTCGTCTACAGCAATTTTAGCAATTCTTGAGCTGATATCATGATTCGCACTGTCATTGTTGAGAACATCGTTCATTACCAATATGGCTTCTTTCAAGCTACATAAACGAGAAAGTAAGCGCATGCGTAGTGTTACTGGAAGAATATGCACATAATTAGGTAAAAGCTTTACTACTTTGTCCAAGATATCTACTTGATCCTGAAAACAATCCAAATAGAAATAAAAGTAAATTTACAATGTAAAAATCGTTATCACTCGATTATTGGAACATGTCGATGCAAAATTTTTGATTTTATAGTTATCGGACGACTTTAAAATGATCAAATTGATGAAAACTGAGGGAAATAGCCAAACAGTCCAGGTATTGTAGTGAATTCGCTTTTACTTGTGATAGAAAATAATACTCGTGAAATAATTTAGAAGCCAGTGAAATAAGCTAGATATGCAACATAAAAAAAACTTTGCCAAAAAACCCAAAAACCCAAAACATACTAATTTAACCCAAAAAACATACTAATTTAAGAGCCAAATCTGCAGCAAAGTAAACAGGTCGATATGACGTTGATTTTCCGCTATCACGATTATCGTTTATCCAGTTCATCAAAGAATCGAATGAAGCCTGATCATTCTGGAAAAAAGATAAAATGATAAAAATGAAAAATTAATAAATGGATTTTAAAAACATAAACAGCATAAGCTTGTATAGTGGGAAAAAGCGACTTCGAGGAGCCTCTTCGCAGTGGCCGATGGACGCACCAAAACGAGCGACGATTAGTGCATCGTTCTTATAAGAAGAAACTTACGAGAAAATGGCAACAAGCAGCGAATTGAACAGCTTCAACTGCGTTCGAAATCGATAATTTGAGCTTTTCCAACGAGTCGAATGTTACGTTTCGCTTGCGAATAGCTTCCATGAACTTATTTTCGCGAAAATCGACGACAAATGAGCGCTTTTTGTGGCGATCGGCGACGAACGACGAAATTGATGGAGTTTCGTTGCTTCCGCGATAAAATTTTCGCAAACAAATCGCCGATTGTCGCATTTTCGTTACTCCAACAAATTTATTTGTTTTATTCATTTTTTATCGCTCACATATTTCACAGAAAAAATTCTTTTTCTAAAGGAAATTTATTAATATTATTTAGCGAATTATTAAAATTATTAATGAAACAACGAAGCACTCCAATCTTTTATAAAATTAAATTTATTTTCACAGATTTCCAACTAAAAAATGGCAAAAACAATGATTCTCAAATGATTCGAACCACACGACGTGAAGATAATCCCTGCGCTAAACACTAAAATCTCTCCAGAAAAAGCACCAAAATGAACCAACCGAAAAATAGTGATAGCCCCAATTTCCAAAATTCGGCTTCTTGAAATTTCTTTTAAATGCACATTTGCTGGCAATAATGCAGTACCGTTGATTTGTTTTGAAGGGTTTGATGGTCGACTGGCTTATTTTAGATGGTTTCTTTTAAGTTTTTGGGGTCAAAGATGAGGTGAGGTTCCTACAGTTGAGGTTGGAAAGTTTTACAGCGTTATAAGGCATGGATAATTAGCCGCTAAGGTGTAGTTGGATTGCGATGGCGTGCTTGACCTCTCCTGGTTGATCTCTCCTGGCTGACCTTCTCTGATTTATCTTATGTTTCAAAAGTTGCCGTAATATGCAAGTGGCAAATAGCGAGGCTATCTGGATAGAAAACTATATTAAGGATCGAAATCAAACAATACCTTAGGCACAAATAAATTTATGGATCGATTTGCAAGTCTGGAAATTATAATTTATTTTAATTAAATTCTTATCTATATTTTTAAATTTTTTTCACTGATCGGACTTTAATTTTTTTTGTATTTTTTCCTAAAATTTTGCGTTTATAATTTGCTTTTATTTTCGCTACATTCTTAGCAATTCGTCCTTTTCTTTCTTAGTGTGAATAATTTTTCAAGAGTACCAATGAAAAGAGGTCGATTTACTTTTTCTTAACATTCATTATTTTTATATTTTCGATAAGCGATGAGTATTCCCGGTGAAATTCCAATAAGATATTTGGTAATCGATAATGATAGTTCTTGCGGTATAAATGCGGAACAGGACGTCGCTACTCAGTCGTTTCATTCCTATTATGCATCAACTAGTGATAATTTATTTTTTCCACAGTCAACTTCGCAATGCGATCAACTTTCGTCAGGTTTTGTTACATATGAATATGGTTAGTTTAATTTTCTTTATCTCTGTTATATCTTTGTTATAAAATGTTTTATCATAAAACGGCAAAAATATTTTAAACATGTTAAATTAAGCTTTAATCGTTTTGGTAAATTGTAGAGTTTAGAAACTGGAAATACACTAATTCGAAAAACTCAAAAATTACTTTATTGAAGACAAATTTGACAAGTTCGAAAATATTGCCCGCAATATTGTTAAAAATGCTATTAACATTTAAAAATTCGAATTCGAATTAATTTAAAAATTTTCATTAAATTTCTTAATTCCTGGTTTTTTAGAAGATTATGATAATTCGAATTGGATTGAAGAAAGCTGTGCAAATAATGCTATAGAAAATATAACAGATGACGTCGGTCTTCAAGTTTCTTCATTGGTTTTTTTTCTTTTTCTTTGATTTTTTCGATATACCATCATTTGTAATTTACTATTTTAAAAATAAAATGACAAATAATATTTTTAAATTTTTTGCTGCTTTTCTTCACTTCGTTATGAAATTGTTTAAAACACCATTCGCTTTCTTATTTCTTTTTGAATATGAATAAATTTCAGAATAATTTATATTCGCGTTGTTCGTTATGCGATATGTTAATCGATGTTGAAAGTTACAATGTTCACAAGAAGAACTGTAAATTAAAGAAACTTTTTAAGTTGGTTTCCAGTTTCCATTTTTTGTATCAGTTTTTTTTTCATGATTTCAAAGTATTATTGAAAAAGGGATCTCCAGCTTCAACCACGTTTTATTGCAAAAAGATAGACAAAATTTACCTCAATTTTAGATGTTGTGAATGCGATGAAGAATTTAATTTGGAATGTAACTGTAATATACATGGAATGCTTGTGCATACTCATCCAGAAGCTATCGATGGTCGAAATTTTAAATGCATGTTATGCTCAAAAATATTTGTTCGAATTTCAGCTTTTGACGCTCATCTTAGAACACATTTGATTAGCGATTTGTTAAAATGTTCATTCTGCAAACAAGAATTCGAATATCAGGTATCAGTATTTTAAAATTCTATGAGCGGTGCCGAAAAAGTACTCTCCTTATATATCAATGAATAAAATGATATTTATCAATTTACCATTATTATTTCATAATTTATTTATTATTAGTACTATTATTATTTTATTAATTATTATTACTGTTGTTATTATTATTAAATAACGTAATAGTATTATCTTTTTTTGCGAATCAGACAAGTTTTTTTTTCTTAAAATTTTATTCTTTTAATTATCTTTAAATAAAATTCTATTTTTTTAAAAATTTAATTATCTTCATTTTTGCCTTTGTCAGGGATAAATCTGTTATGGTATCAAAAATCCGGGTGACTGCTGGGAATCTACCTGTACCTCTGTCCCTAAGTGACTCTTTGGTGAAAAGGTCTGGTCTCTTTGACAGCATCCGCTTCTTCCGACGCACATGATACTTCTAACCTGATGGTACGTCGGTAAATATATGATCCGGGCGTAATAATAATAAAACAATTCCAATGCTTGAGGGTAAGATATACTCGCGACCCAGTATAATTACTTAAAATTTGTCAGGGAGACGAGAACCTATCCGCTAATACTTCTTAAGCCTGGCGAAATGCTGGTTATAGTTTCTTGGAATGTCAGAAGGCTTATGGATTTTGCCAGTCAAGCGATCACCGTCCACATCCTTTCTAAATATCGCGTGGATGTGGGTTGTTTGTTGGAAATCCGTCCGTTTTCCTCATTTTGGCTCTTGGCTCGAGTATTTATTTAACCTGGTTCCTAACAAGCATTTTAGTTATATCACTGTGGTATCTCGGACAATTAGAGGGGAAATGGCATAGCGATTATCATATCTGAAAAGATCCGATCCGCTGTGATTGAGTGGAAGCCAGTAAATGGCCTATTTTTGCTTCAAAAGATCTGCAATATTTCGGTTATCAATATATATGCTCTAACTTTATACGCAGGTGATCGCGATAAGGGAAAATTTTATGCGGAACTCCAATTATTAACAACATCTCTATCGGGATGTGATGTGGTCATAACCGTGGGGAGATTGGAATGCCCACGTAGGTCATGATGCCGTTACGATGAATTCATTAATTGGCAAATATGATGGCATCAAGGTCCAGTGCGCCAATGAAGGACAATCTTCTTTGTTTTGCCAAACATCATGAGCACTTTATTATGCTTTCGTCATAGGAAAAGACATTAGTTATGTGGAATTCTCCGGATAACCAACATTGCAATCAAATTAGCTATGTATTGGTCAGTCGCTCTTCTTGATAGTCATTCCTATCGGGGCGCTGAAATTGATAACCGTCATGGATCAGACCATGTTATGTTATGAAGCCAAGATTTGCATAATACTGATAAGTTATAAGAAAGATATCCCAAAATCTTTCAACTATTTCAAATTGAATTAAAAGACCCTGAAACGCATTTGCATTTCAAATCGAATTATTGAAAATTTCGGATGAATACTATGAATTAAAGACAAAAACCAGCCTTTTCCATATGGAGGTATACCAGTAGGTGTTGTATATTAGTTGGATGTCGGGAGCAACTGTCCTATTCAAAATTCGAATATCAGGAGATCCTGACTGTCAGGTAATTCAAACGACAGCTGATTGGCGTGATAGAAATCACTGGAGCGATATGGCCTTAAGAATGGAAATGACGCTCGATTAGGCGACAATAAATATTTCGCCTTTTTCACAAAGCAACTATAATTTGAGAAGGGGTCAGTGAAGTAATACGGGACATTAATGGGGCGCCTCTAAAGGCTATTAAAGACCGCATAATAAGATAGAAAGAATTTTCTGAGGCCAAACCTTAACTGCGATCTGTTATCATCTGTTATCACCATCTGTTATCCCGGATATAGCTAATTCGTTCGCTCGTCATACGATTGCAGTTGCTATCCGCCAGTAAAAAAGAAAATAATCTCTCCATAAGGCCAATAAAATTCCCGGAGTTGATGGCCTTCGTGCCGAACTCTTCAAATGTTGTCCATCATCGTTCATAACTCACCTTCAACAAATATACTCTCTGGTATAGCAAAAAGAAATAATACCAGAGGACTGGATCAAAGCAATTCTGCTTCCAATTCTTAAGAATGGTGGTAGGACGTACTGAGACAATTACCAATGAATCAGCCCACTATACATCTATTGCAGGTTGGGGTAGTGCCCGACTTTAAATATTTTGGATCCATTCTAATCCCAAATGGCCAGGCAAAGGATGAAATTTGTAATTTGGATAACGATAGCTAAAAGTGTGAAACCTTTATAGAAAACCGACGCGAAATTACCATAAAAACGAAAGTCCGTCATCTATATAGTCTCGATTCGTTCGATCTTGCTCTATGGTTCTGAGATATGACCAGTGAGAGTGGAGTGTATTAAGAAGTTATCTGCCTTTGACCACTTATGTCTAAAGTACATTTTACGGGCTCGAATGGATAAAATCGAATATGATCGCATCCACCTTCGTTCAAATACCATTTGCATCAACAGTGTACCATCATGGAGCGTCACCTTCGCTGGTTAGGACACGTTCTGCGTCGTCCACCGCAGGAGTTGACGCATATTTCGCTACTTGCCGAACCTTATAGTGGTTACCGAGGAGAGCCAATCAAATCCTGGACTGACACGGTCAAGAAAGATTTTAAACATATGGACCAGCAATATATAGGTTTAGACGCAGGAATGGTTTTCTATTACTGTCGATGATGGCATCGGATGAAATGGCCTAGAAATGTCTTGCCCTTGTAGCCAGCCGAGCCAGCTTAACCAGTAATGTTAGAAGAGGAAGAATTAAAATTAATTAAATCAATTACTTTTAACGAGGCTCTTTTTTGGTTTCACTTGGTACTAGGATACTTATTTCGAAAATATGTATTTGTGGATAGTTGTAAGAATATATCTCCGACAGTCACATTTCATTTTTAATGACGAAATTTAATAATCATGCCTAAAAAAATGAGTTTTTCATTGTTACTTTTAATAGCAAATTTTCTGTTTATCTGGAAATTCAACTGGATTATTCCTTACGTTATCGATAGCCAAACTCTTTTTGTCATATAAAATTTTTTTTATTTTTCCTCAATTATTGCCATAAATGTATTGTAAGCTTTAGGCCCTTTTGAATCAACATGTGAGGCTGGAACATTCTCAGACTTTATCTGAAAATTGTGGTGTAGAGATTTGTCGCCAATGTGGCATTATTATGGGTGATAAACAAACGTTGGCAAAACATATGCTCATGCATCGAAAGATCAAGTACGCATTTTGAAAATCGGTTTCCATTTTGTATACATATTTGATTTTATGAATTATATGACAAAAAGAGTTATTTTATGAATTATACGAATTAAAATGGAATGTAATATTCCAAATGAAAATTTGATAAAAATGTAATATAAGCTAATGGATATTTGTTTTATAAAGAATAAAATGGGCATTGAATTTAATTTAGTAATTTTTGTGTAGCAAATCAATGAAACGATCAAGAAGGAGGAAAAGTAATGCTGTTGATGGCAAACGTCACAAATGTCAATATTGCGAGAAAAGTTTTGGGAAGAATTTCGAGCTTATCCGACATCTCGTTGTTCATACAAGAATGTTATATTCCTTCACCATTTGTTTTATATTAAAATATTGAGATTGAAAATTATAAGCAGAAATTTTAGAAGCAAAACAGTTTATGTGCGATTTTTGTGGTAAAAGTTTTTCTCAGAAATCATCTCTTATTCAACATCAGAGAATTCACGATTCTAATTCGGCATTAACTCATAAGTGTACATTATGTGATGCCACTTTCTCTCAGGTATTCACTCTCTATCACCATTATTTTTTAAAATTTTAATAATTTTCTATCATTTTAGGCTGGAAATTTACGGCGTCATGTTTCATTATTACATCCCCCAGATGTAACAGCACGTACGGTGTTTCGATGTCCTCATTGTACTTGTGTTTTTAATTCAGTGCAACCGTTGCAAGTGCATATAAGTAAACGACATCCAGATGATGCATTAAATACTGAGCAAAGTTTGTTTTATGCTAATAAATAATTATTTAAAAATGATTTAGTAAAGAGCTGTTTACTGAAAAGGTGATAATTAATATAAGAAGTACTCTTAGATATCAAAAAACATTCATCTATCAAAATATTATCTTTTCAGTTCCAGCTGAAAGGCAGCCAAACTTTAATAATGATTCAGCTTTCTTGAAGCAGGTAAAAAAGTATTAATTCAAAATTTTTTACTGGTGATATTCTTTAATCTGAAAAATATAAATTTTTTAATTAATTATTAATTAATTTAGAAGCAAAAAAGCCGTCGGAGATTAGTTTGTTGTTCAGTTTGTGGAAAAGCCTTTGGCAAATCTTCTGATTTGATTCGCCATTATCGTATTCATAGTGGGAATCGGCCTTTTTCTTGTAATCGTTGTGGCAAAAGTTTTTCACTTAAATCATCACTAAAACTCCATATGAATAACCATGTTCGTGAAGATAATATAGACAGCTACTTCACTTGTGCCAGATGTCCATTGTGCATGAAACAAGTCAGTTTGTGATGTTTAGCAAAGCGCACTATTTCTGCCTTTTTCCATCTATTAAAAAGATAAAAAGATAAGATATTGTCGAATTCGAGATCCATTTGAAAATACACTACACCTATAAATGGCTATTTTTCAATCGCCTAAAGCTCTGCATACTTTCTGTGAAATTTATTTTTATTTAAATTTTTGCATTTAAAAGTTGCAGCTATCGTCAGTTAGTTCTCTCCGTCGTCATATGAAGCTACATAGTCGCGCATTAATTTGTAGCTGGTGTGGCCAAGTTAGAATTCTTTTCTTTTTTTGAAAACTAATAACTAATATAATAAGCAATATAAGCAATATATATAAGCAATAACTAATATAAGCAATACTAATATAAGCAATATAATATAACTAATATAAGCAATGCAAAATTTTAAATAAACAGATAAACAATTTTATAAATTTTCTTATTTTCTTCATTTATTGGTTGTTTTTGTTATTTTTTAGTTATTTTTCAGTCGTTTACATCAAATAAAATATTAGAAAGGCACCATATTATATGTTTCAATAATACTAAAAGCGAAAATTCGAATCATCTTATTGAATTATTACCGCAAAAACAGCCAGTTGTGCAGGAATCAACCATTATTCGCCCTTATAAATGTAGCATTTGTACTGCATCTTTCACATCTCTTCGATGTTTAAGAGAGCATATAAATAGACATACTGGAATAAAACCTTACGTTTGTCGAATCTGCCACAAATCATTTTATACTCGCAGTAAGTGATTTTTATGATCCATTTTCTTTAAATTCTAAACCTTCTAATTCTTAAATTTTTATATTTATATTTATATTTTTATATTTATGAAAAATTGAAATTTTTTATTATCTAAATTAATAATAAATTTCCATTTTTTTCATAAATGTTTTGTTTTTCTTCTGTTTTGACCAGAAAAAAATGAAAAATTTTTGGTAAAAATAATCAGGTTTATCTTTTATATCTGCTTATTTGATTATTTTTGAAATTTCAGCTCAGTTAAGTTGTCATTCACAAGTGCATTCAAGTGGTATTTTTTTCAAATGTTCTGTTTGCTCTCTTAACTTCAGAAGACGACATCAGTTCAAAATACATTTGGAGAAACATCGCGAAGAAGCAAGAAAGCTACATAATAGTGTAAATGTAAGGGAAATTTCCCCAATCTCTTTTCAAAAAAATTAGATTAAGATTATTTCTACTATAAAACTGATTTTTGTTTTGTTAAGTTTACTTTTTTCTCAGTATATGGTAGAAAAGTGCTTAGAACTGATGCTTTGCCCATATTCTTTGACTGCAGTCTCATAGAGATTTAATTAAAAGAAATTTTACTGCCAACGATTTAGTTAAATTAAACCATAGAAGAATATGAAAAACAATATAATTTAGGATTTATAATTCTATAGCTGTGTTGTTTATTGAATAGAATTCTTTATTTTTTTTTTCTGACAACTATAAGGTTTCGTTTTATTTGATATTTGACATTATTTTTTTTAAAGAAATTTATTGTTATTCTATTTTCAGTTTGTTTCCGCTGTAAATAATGAAAGTGATAATATAAACATAAGAGACCACAGTCTTTTAGCAGTGCAGACGCCAAATCAAATATTTAATGATTATGTTGACATGAATAATCAAGAAGAACGGTCGATATTGCAAGGGAATTCGTATTCCTTTCCAGTTGATTCTATGAATGATTTTAATCCAAATACTTTCATTTCTTATCCATTAAATGCTATCAGTGGAAGTGAACAAGAAAATGCAAGGCCACAAGAACTTACGAAAGAAATCAATTTCAATGAATGCATAGATGAGGTTTTTTTGTGCATTTTTCTTATTTCAACATTTGCTTGGATTCACCATCTGTGCAGAAAACTTAGGTGCATGATATTTTGGTGGGAGCACTTCCCACTTCCAATATCTATCTTTATAAAATTCCTTTAGGAATTCGCTCCACTACGTTTTCTATATAGATTTCTATATAAATTTGTCTGCCATGCGGGACTTTTATTTCTCAACAATATTATAAATTCTGCAGCCAGCGTTCTTTTAATGATTATCTCGTTGTCAACCCTCAAACTTTGGGAATTAAATCTTTATTCGTAACTACACAAATATATTTATATATATAAAGAAAGCAAAACGAAATTGTTGTCATATTGCAAAGAAAAATAATATAATACGTAAAACCACGCATGAAAATATATAAATATATAAAAACCCAATTCACTCATGGCTCTTCACTCCTTTTATCAGCAAAAGCCCAAAAGGGCCAAAAATGATCTATTGGGAGCTTACATTTAATTTGAATTGGACTAAAATATTCATGGTTTTTAATCCTCTATATTGTGCCTCTCACTTATAGGTACTCTACTATTATTCCGTGATATTTTTTAATATTTTTTCCAACTCTTTTTTCTCTTATTTCATTAATTCTTCTGCTGGACATAGCAGGTGCGTTGCTGACCTACTCATATTTGCAGCTTTTTTCGCCATTCGGCGACACCATCTGTGTTAATTAATCAACTCCATTTTCAATAGATATCGTTAAACAGATATATTAATAGAAAGATCAAGATCAAAAGATCAACTTCATTTATCTCTCGGCAAAATACTTCTTATCTGCTTATTGCATAAATTAACAATTTTATTATTTAGTTAATAAATATGTGACAGAATTCTAAAAATGCTACAAATATCAGTTTATTAATTTCTAATAAAATAAAAGATTCATAAAAAAATAATTTATGATATAATAAAAGAATGTAAAATATATTTTATCAAAATATTATTTGGTATTATTTTACAATATTAATTTGCTTAATTATTTTTGCAGACTTCAATTTTAAATGAGTTTTTCATATCCGAAAATTTTGATTTATTTCTACAATCTCCGAATACAAAATCGGAAGCAGAATTGCGTTGTCCTTTCTGCTTTTTTACCTATCGTTCAGGTTATTTTCTATTGAAATTGATGTTAATTTGTTGTAGGTATATTTTTTAAATTTTTCATTGACATTTCGAAAATTGGATTTTGATTTGTTTTTGAATGATGAAATATGGATTTGTTTTTTAATGAAATCTGTGATTGCTCAAAAATTGCTTAAACATCAATTAAATAAGAGGAGAATATTTAATGGGAAACACCATTATTAATTAAAATAATTATTAAGTTAAATTGAAAAACTTATTGCAAAAAATTAGAATTCCACTTCAGTTCTTTTTGATATTTCCGGTAAGATTATATTTTTTTATAGTATTTAAAACATTGTTTAATTGTTTATTTCTTGTTTAAAATTACTGTTTTAGAATTTTTAATTGAAAAAATTTCGGTATTTCAGAAACGTTTCTTGTGGCGCATTTGCAGAATCTCGCGAACGATATTACTCATCAGTTTACTGTTGCTAATTGCCATATATGTAATGGCAGCTTCTGCGGTGCAGCATTGCTTGCGCAACATCTGACATCTTTCCACGGTTTAGTATGTTTTAAAATTTTTTAAAAGTCAAAAAGTTTGTTGCTGAATTTCATATTTATGAAAGTTTCACATTAAGAAAGCTCCTATTATTCTATGCAGTAATGGAAATAAGAGATAAAATTTTCCTTCTGATTTAGAATTCTGAAAATGTGATTAATCTTGTTTCAAATGTTGGCAGCAGAGCAATTAATGCAACTGAGGAAAGTAATGTGACTGAAGAGAGTAGTGCAACTGGTGAAAATAAAAAGGTTGACAAAATTTTTTTTGTACCGAATTTACCTTTTGTTTACTGGCAGTAATAGAAGCCATTCCTTTTTTCATCATCTGAGTCCGCTTGTTCATCTGTGCGTTCAAAATTTTTCCTAACTATATTAGTCCAGGTCTTAATTTGCGCTTCTCGTTTTTGACGCCATCCATCGTAGGGTTTAATTAGTAGCGAAATACATGGCATTACCTTTCATTTATTAATATATATAAATTTTATTCCAATTTATAACGAAAATTTTTGTATTAACTTTGTATTTTTGTACTTTATTCTTGGTTCGTTATTTCTTCAGCGATATTCTTGTGGATTATGTAAACGAGCATTTTCGAAACCTTCAGATTTGCAACGACATGAAAGAATTCATACAGGTTAATCTTGATTGTATGAAAGTTCCATTTCATTTCTAAATTTATTGATTTATTTATTTTGTTCATTAGATTTAATTTTTTTCATTATTTTTTAGGTGAAAAGCCATATAAATGTGAAGTTTGTGATCGCTCATTTCGTGTTAAATCAACACTTTCTCAACACCTTAGGGTGCATGAAAAAGTTGCACCGCAAGAAATTTGCGCAGTTTGCAACAAATGTTATTGCTCGCAGTCTGCATTAAGAAAACATTTAAGAACTACACATGCTGGTGAAATTTTGCAAAAGTACGGTTTTTACGGTTTTAATTGTTTAAGTTAAACTTAGTCAATTTAAGAAGTCAATTATTCAATTTAACATTTGATAAAATGCGTTATATAGATTCTTATTTAAAATTTATTCAGTTAAAGTGGTACATTGCAGTTCTAATGCTTTTGTTTCTGAAAAATCACACAATATAATTGGCGAATTCGGGTCAGATCAAATGGCCAAGATCCGTGAAGAAGAACAGTTCAGAGCTACAGCTAGTCAATTAGCACCAAATCCAGTAAACGTAAAAGATATTGAGCAATCAGAAAATTCTGCATTTGTACGAATGGGAGAAAAGGTAAAAATTTATTTATTTTTCGCTGAAATAGAATAAAATTAAATTGGGCAGAAGCACCACTCGATTATTGAAAATGAGATTTTAAATGAGAAATACGAACCACTGCTGTGAACTAGATATATTTTGCCTGAGGACAAGAATATATTTGACTTTTGCACCTTGATGAGAGAAATTTGTCCTTATTAAAAAAAATCGAGTGGTGCTGGATACCCCTTTTGTTTCTTTTCCAAATTTTTCTGACGAAAGGGTTCTTATCGTAATAGCTAGTGAAACTAGCCAAATCTGAAGTTATGAGTGCTATTAAGGAAATAAAAATGGAACATTATTCATCATTTTCATATATTTGTTATCCTAATAAAGCAGCACATTACCGGTCATGTAAATTGTAGGATTCATGGGATTTCTCTACACCAATAGCCATAAGTATCAAGCCACATGTCATGCGAGAAAATGTTGAAATCTTGATCGGTATGCACGGGTGAGTATTACTAATATTATTAATAAATATTGCTAAAGAAATCGGTTAATTCATATTGTTTCATTTATTAGTCTCTTTTGCATAAATTAACAAGTAACAATATAATTAACAAGTCTTATATATAATACAAATATATTATATGGATTTGTAGCACTGCTCAAATTGAACCTTTATCATTATTAATTGAGCCAACTGTTATTCGTTCGTTGTCTTCCTCGGACGTTTGTATGCGATTTCCAATTTCATCCTCTTTCCTTCCAGTTGGATCGTTTTTATCTGTTGATTTATGGCGAACACTGGAGCTACTGACTAATAAAGCGGTGCATTAAACTTAAAAATTTGTTTCTTTCTTTTCGAAATTTTTTTTAACTTTTTAAAAATTTTGTTTTAGTCTGCGCGACTTATTGTTCCGATTGATATTCCATCTACTGTGACTGGTTTGCCAATTGAACTTTTTACTCAATCGCAATCCATAGTAGTACCGGTTGAGCCCGATTTTCTCACCAGTTGTGACGTTTGTGAAGAAAATTTTCTCACTAAGGAACAGAGTGCAAATCATTTTGCCGGATCAGATCATGAAACTGCTCATCTATTCTCCATATCTCATTTAAATAATCGTGTAGTAGAAGTTGATTCCAGAAATCGGAATCAATATGTTTTGTGAGTTTTGTAATTTCCATATTAAATCTTTAAAAAACTCGGCTAATGTTTATTTCTTTGAAGTTTTTTTAAAGAATTTGAATTTATGGAACGAAAATATCGAAAAGTTTTCAATATTTAGGCCGAAAAACGATCAAGCTGAAGTTTGTAAGCTTTGTTTGGGGCAGTTCTATAGTCGCGAATATTTATTGGCTCATATTCGCAGAGTGCATGAAAGAGATGGTGTTGATATGCTTCAGCGGGACGATCTTTTCGCTAGGCCTCGAACTATGGAATAATTGAACTAATGTTCTTCTTTATAGAGAATTGAGTTTTTTATAGTTTGTTTTAAATCTGGAATAAAATTATGTTTTAACATTTTATATTTCTTTATTATTCATTAAAATTATATTCAGTCGTAATGTTTGTATAAAAACTTTTAGATGACTTATGAAATTTATAACTTTAAAAAAATTAGCGATTTTTATCGAGATCTATTTTATTCCATTGGTTGCATTTCGTGCAATTTTCTTAAACAGTTGATCTCTTTGTAAATTTCAGTTTTTAATTTTTTGTTTTCTTTCTATTATAGTGCTTTGTATTATAATTGCAACTCCAAAAATGTATAACTATTTTAATAAATTTTTTTTCTTCTCATGATCTTTTTTTTTGATTTTCCTAAATGTTATATACCTTATTTATTTCTTGCTCATGTTTATTTCTTGTATTAGATGTTGCTCTTGATTGGTCTTTTGACTCGCAAAACATATAAAATCTGTCGGAGTAAGGAATACGAAAAAGCGATACGAAGGAAAGGAAGAAAAAGTTGAGAACCACTATTTAAATCGCATATTTAAGTTTCCAGAATATTGGCGTACGCATTTCAATTGGATTCAATATGCATTTACAATATTTAAAGTTATATGAAACAAGTACTCGTTTCTATGTAATCGCATCAGATGCCTCTCGGTCTAAGTTTTATTTATTGAAAATTGATCGCATTAATCCGTATATTTTTACTGTCGGCGAAACTGAGCATGAATATTCGGAAGCAGACATCATAGAATTACTTGCAACTGTGTCAGAAGGAAGTTCGAGTTGGTGCTTTTTTTTTATCATTTTATTCCACCTTAAATTCAAATAGGAGATGCTATTCAAGATTTGAAACTATCGGCTCAGTGGCACAAGAGAAAAATCTGGTTACCCTCAAAGTTAGCACGGACAGATGGAAAAGAGTTGCTAATTGTTAAACCTTATATCCATTAATTGAATGTTTTTTATGAGAATCATTATATTCGGCTTATCATATAATTTAATAATTTAGTCGTTTATAAGCCACAAGCTGAGCGACCATTGGCAGCAATTGCAAAACGAAAGGCACTTGTGGAACGATTAAGTAATGCATTTGGTTTGCTAGGAGCTGTTCGTTTTCTTGAGGGTTATTACATTTTAGTAAGTTTTTCAGTCTTTCACATTTCAAATATCATTTTTTTTTGAATTAGCTTTCACAAATTTCTATCCCTTCAAGAAATAAGAAAATTAAAAAACTTAAATTTTAAAAAAAAGTTTATCTTAATTTGAATCGAATAGCGATTGGTCTTAAAATTCTTCGTTTAGCTTGTTACGAAGGCAAGAGTTGTTTCAACAATTGGCTATCATTCTATCTATAAAATCGAAGAAGTGACTATGATATATACTGGAATAGATGGTGCACCAATAAATCAAACTGAACAGCGATATGTCAAACTGTTCCAGGTTATTTTCTTTTTTGAATTGTAATAATGGATATATTGTTCTCACTTTTTTATCATTTCGTTTTAGTCTGTGGATCTGTCGACTGATTTTTATTTCTCTTATTCGTATGACATAAGTCGGACTTTGCAAGAAAACGCATTAGGTTGTCAAGGTTGGTCAGACTTCAGTGGAATGAGTAAAATTTCATCGACAAATGCTGATCAAAGATTTATTTGGAATGCTTTCTTATTGGAACCATTCAGGAAAAATAGAATAAGTGAGAGATGGCTTATTGAAATCGTTCACGGATATATTAGTAATCTTTTTGTATTTTATTTCACTTATATTTATTATATTATTTTAAATTTATTTGCCATAATATATAATATTGTACAAATATTGTTATACGACGAAATAGAGGAATTCTTTAATTCCTTTGCTTAAAACCACATCTAAACCAGAGAGAATGATGTTAGAAATTGAAAATAAGGCGGCATTTTATTCCTCGTAAAAACGTATTTTCTGACCTTAATTTGCTGTATTTCGTCTATCAGCTTGATGAAATAGCTAATTTATATATAATTAGAATTTTTGTTTCTGAGATAACCTGAACGTTGACTACTCGCAAGCGCTATCCGACCACCGTCGTGACGCGGGGACTTTTGCCTGCTGCCTTTCGGCCCTGAGCCATACGCCCCTCTTTACACAGACCAGCTGCCATGACATTCCTGCTATGACACCTTATCGACGCCACGCTTGGCCTGGACGCTCGGTCTCCGTAATCCCACGCCTACCAGTTCTCCTTCTCTCACTCCATCCGCCAGTGCCCGCCTCCCAGTCACTTGGATTACAAGCGCAAACAATATAGATAGACTATTAAATTTTGTATTAAATCATGTCGATTTCACTTAGCCCTGTATATCAATTAACATTCTCTTTTCCTTAGCACAAGATTTTCAGTATCGCCTCTTTTATGATCATCTTATAAATTATTTAAATAACCTCATTTGGTTCAAGTGATTTTTATTCTTTTCCAAATTCAATCATAGTTGTAATTTTGGGCTGTCATAAATTGTCAATAATTATTATAAAATTTTCAGGTCAACAAATCGTCGAATTGCCTTGCTCACGATTATCTATAATTTTAATTGGTAGGCGATCATCACAGTATGCAGGCACTCGTTATCTTAAGCGTGGCGCTAATTTTAAAGGTTTTGAAGAAAAGTTTCATTTTTTATTTAATTTAATTTTCATAAATTATCACTATCATTTGTTCACCGGTACGTTAAAACCAAAGCTTTGTTTCGTTGATCTAACTCATTTTTTATTTCGGTGATGTTGCTAATGATGTCGAAACGGAGCAAATTATATGGGATACGTGGTCATCGCCAAATTTTTACCTTGGTAAATTCAGCGCGTATGTGCAACGTCGTGGGTCAGTTCCGCTAATTTGGAGTCAAGACCCAGCTACAAGAGGCGTAGTAGGAAGACCCCTTATTTTCATCGATATTAATGAACCACATTCACAAACTACAGCTGCGCACTTTCGGTTTTATCTTCATTTTTACCATTCTCACATTTTTTCTAATAATTTTTCGCCATATTTATTACATAGAATGAAGTTTGCCAAATTTTCTTGTTCTGTGTAAAAGGTGAAAGGTAAACTCCAGTTGTTCGTATATATTTGTTTAGTGATCTGAGGAAAAAGTATGGAAATCCTATAATTGTCATGAATTTGGTAAAACGACGTGAAAAACGAAAACATGAAACTTTATTGCATGACCAGTTCCTTAAGGTATTTTATAATTTAAAAATTCACTGTTTATTTTAAAAATTGGAAGATAATTAACAAGGTCTGGCGTTGTCATTCTTTTAAATAAATTTAAATAAACTTTTTTACAGGCTATAAATTACTTAAATTTATTTCTTCCTCGAGATGAAAATATTGCTTATCTAAGTTTCGATGTTGCTCGCTGCAATAAGACTGGCATTGTTTTAGCGAAATTAGATGAAATTGGTCTTCGCGTGGTGCTTAAACAAGGCTGGTTCCAGGTTCATATTATTTTTTTCAATACGCATCGCAAATAGTAGTAAAAAATAATGTTGGAAAGCTCCTTGTTTGCTTTCTTTTTTTAGAGTTTTCCACCTTTGTATTGCCACTCGATTCGGAAAAATGCGATATTCGCTGATTTCAAGCCAAATTTTCATTCAAACGGTCGCTTCTTACTTCAGAGTGGTATTTCTAGAACAAACTGTGTAGATTGTTTGGATAGAACAAACGTGGCTCAATTTGGAATAGGTAATTATATTTTCTTGGATATATGAAAAATGATTTCTGTGATAAGCTGGTCTTACCTTCTTCTAACAGCTCTCACCATTACTGGTTAGGCTGGCTCTACAAGACGCTTTGAGGCGCGGTGGGATGCCATCGTCAACAGTAACAAGCCATTCCTTTTTCCAAGTCCATATATTGCCGGTCTATCTGTACGTTCAAAATTTTTTCTTATCATATCAGTCCAAGTTTTAATTGGCCCACCTCGCTTTTGACGCCATTCATCACACGGTTTAGCAAGTAACGAAATATGCGACAACTCTTGTGATAGACGGCAGAGAACGTGCATTAACCACCGAAGGCGATACTCTGTGATAACATTATCAAGTGGTATTTGAACAAAAGTGGTTGCGATATGATATTTTATTCGCTCGACGGACCCGTAAAATGTACCTTAGACAAAAGTGGTCAAAGGTAAATGGCTTCTTAGTATCATCCACTCTCATTGGCTATGTCTCAGAACCATATAGTAAGATCGAACGGATCACGGTTATTATATGCGGACTTTTGTTTTTATGGTAATTTCACGACGATTCACGACTCTTTCGTCAACCGGAAGAACGTATTTCTATCTGCCGTGATCCAGATTGTGATATCGTCTTTTGCCTGTCCATTTGGCATTAGAGTGGACCCAAGGTATTTAAAATCGGGTATGTCCTCAACCGGCAATGAATTTATGAAAAGAAGCATTTTATCAGCTTCTTGCACATAAGATGAAAAGGCTTTCGTTTTATTTACATTTACATTTTTTTTTTTTTGAATCTGAATTTGAATTTGATCTTGAGCGGTTGTATTGCTATTCCGCTTAAATTTTTTTCGGAATATCTTTTCTAGAATTTCTATTAAAAAAGGAAAGAAAAACTATTACGAACCACGAGCTAAGCTTTTTTTCTTTCCCTTTTCTTTTTCTAAATTTAAAAACAAAAAATAGAAATAAATAAATATATATATATAATATATAATAATGTAATTTATAATATTTATTTATTTATAATGATATTAATATATCTTAGACAATAGTGGTCAAAGATAGATTACTTCTTAATATCCTTCATCTTAATAATATTATAAAAGAAATAATAATATATATTATTAATATCTTAATAATATTGTAAAAGAAATAATACTATAAAATATTATTAAGAATGGTTTTTTTGAGGAATATTGTGGAAAAGGAATCGTATATCGCTTCTTCTCATGATTATTTATTGTTGAAGGTCGTGTTGCCTTAGGCTTTCAACTATATTCTATGGGATATACTAGTGAAGCAATTATTTCTCCCTCAAGCGAAGTGTGTAGGATGTATGAAGATCTTTTTGATGAACTTGGTGATACTCTAGCATTGCAGTATGCGGGCTCACAATTAGTTCATTCGATCAAACACTATAAAAAGATTTCAGCTTTCCAGGTGAGGAGTGAGCTTTATTTTGTCAGTTCTTTTTTTAATTATTTTGTACATTATTTTGTTATAAACATTCAAAATTAAAAATTAAATATAGTTATAAAGTTATAGGCGAAATTCTATAATCTTATATTCTTGTAATTTTGAGTTCATATATTTTTAATGAATATTTTGTAGGAAAGAAGTCGAGATGTGATACAAACCCTTTCACGTTATTACAGCAATACTTTCGGTGATTATGATAAACAAAATGCGATAAACCTTTTCCTCGGCATCTATAGGTCACTCATTTGTTCTAATAAAATTCGCTTCAATTTTACTTTTGGCTATCTGGAATTTTAATTTAATTTTCATATTTTCATTAATTTACATTTTCATTAATTGGAACTTAGAATATTTTTTCATTCCATAAACTCAAATCTAATTTGAAAAATTAAACATATTTTTTAAATCGTTTCTTAAATTATTTCAGGCCAAATCTAACCTCTACAACTCATTTGTGGGATCTCAGTACGGATTACTACTTGCATTTTCCAATTGGTTTGAAAGTGCATTCAGATTATTGTGCTTGGTTTTTGGAGCCGAAAATCATTGAAGAAAGTGATTTGCCTGAGAGAGATATTACTAAAGGTATTATCTTCTAATTTTTGGTCTATTAATTTTTATAGCTTAAAATATGTTTGTTCTTATTTTTCAGTTTCATCGGGAATATAAATCTTTTTTTTTTCACATGATTTCGTTTTATCCGTTATGCCATTCTATGCATTCTCCTTAATTTAGCGGATATTTTTGTTCTTTTGCAATTATATTTTGTGTGCATTTTAATTTATTTTTCGCAACTTCCACTTGCTGCTTTTGTCACCTTTATAAATGACTTGAAATCAAATTCAATACAAATTTTAAGCAAATTTTATTTATCACAATTTTTTTTTAAATTCTCCTCACCATTACTGGTTAAACTCGCTCCACTGGCTTATCGCATTGGGCAATTTGCCAGGGAGCCTTGATGATAGAAATACAGCATCACCGGCATTTTTGTACAGATTTATTCTTTCGTGGAATCGAACCTCAGCTCGCGCTCCCGATTGAGTAACAACCTACTGAACTATTTTACTATTTCAGATTTTTTTATTAAACAGGCTTATCTTGTAGGCGAGCAGAATTATTTTTTTATTCTTGGTTACATTCTTCGGCATTCTTCGAAGGCATTCAACCTTCTTCGAATCCTGTCACACTTTCGCATTTTTCGCACTTTCCACTTAGTATTTGAAGAAAGTATTATCGAGCTGAAAAATATTGAAGAATTAGAGCATAGTCTGGCTCGAAGTGGCAGAAAGAGATTTAATAAATATGTTAAGAGCGTGCAATTATTTGGGATTATTTAGAAAAAAATTTCCCACGAAATATACTATCTTTTAGGCAAGTTAGTTCAGTTTTTATTTACATATGATATCTCTAATCTGATAAGTCAAAGCAAAAAAGCAGAATTTTTTTGATTTATCAAACTTGACTAAAATTGTAATTGAAATACAAAATTGGAATTGTTTGCCAATGCGGCAAAAGTATTTACAGTTGCTATGGAAATTTGTAACATTTGCAACATCTTATAAAATGATTTACGAAGTTAGATGCAATAGAAGAAAATTATATGCGCGAATTAAGAGCAGATAATGGCATTACGAAGTCAACTAAGTAAAATTTTTGAAATTCGCTCATTCATTCATCATTATGCATTTTTCATATCTTTCATAACATTCACTTCATTAATATGCAATGTGATTAATGTTTTATTCAGATCATGAGAAAAATGCGGTAATAAATCGCGAACAACAATATAATGAGTATTATCGCGTCTGGGAAGTTTCGCAGTTGGATTGTTTGATTCGTGAGCAAAAAGATTTACAAAAATCAATCTCTGTGGAGGGCGTAAATCAGTATGTTGCCCAAGGCTATTCTTTTGCAAAACTATGGAAGCTGGTAATTGTTGCAATAAATATTCAATTTCTGCCATCCTATTCACAGTATTTCTTAAAATATTGAACTATTTGCAGCCAGATTCGGGTGATAGGAAAATACAGAAAATAAATAAGCAAGAAAAAGTAAATATTGCGGAAGATGAAGATGAAGAAGATGAGCCTGTTGTTAAATCAGATGCTGAAGTTCATTATAACTGTGGTTTCGAAGAAGTATATTGAAATTGAATTTTTTTCGTACTTTTTTTCCCATCTAAATTTGTTTCTTTTTTTAGAATCCCTTGTATTTTTGTATTTTTTATAGATGCCAGTAATGCGACCTACTAGTTTGGTGCCAACAGTTCGGACAACAAAACAAGGTTCTCACTTCACTATTTAGTGTTAGATCGAGATATTTAAATAATAGTAGCTATTATATAATATTCATACAAGTAAAAACTGGATATAACTGAAAATTGCCAAAAAGTTTTATTTGTCACATGTTAAATCGGTTTAAAGTAAAATATAGGTTTGTGTACCGGATTATTTTCTACGTTAGAAATTTACGGATTCGATTGTTCAATAACAAATGAAGCGAATATTTTAAAATATGCTGAACATACGCAACACGTTAGCTATAGAATCACACCGAAGGTATTTTTTCAAAACTTATGTGATTTGAAAATAATGAGAATGATTAATTTTAAGGGTTTAATTTTTTGATCGATGATGAGGTTTTTTTTATTTTCACTTAAATTTTGCTTATATTTTGCATTAAAAGCCCAACGAAACATGTCGTCTTAAATTTTATTTCTTTTTTAATCTGTGATCTTACTAATTAACTGGATTTATTGCTTTTTTTTTAGGATTCGCAAGTTCATAAATTTAAAAAATTAAGTGATATGCGATCGCGAAAATTACCAGATTATTGGAATGTTCAGCCTCTCTCTTTATTTACAATGGATAATGCATTCAAAGTGAGTTTTTTATCATTTATTGTTATAAAATTATTGGTAATTATTATTGGTTATCAATGAAAATTTCTGGAAAATGTTTATTCTATAATATTTATATTTTTCGTTATTTTAGATGGAGATTCCGGAAGTTTCCAAAATGTCTTTAAAAATTTACAAGGATGTTGTAGAACGTTTTCCTAATGGTTATACTGGACCTTCTCCTTCTGATCGAAAAATCTATGAAATATGTTCAATAGATAAATAATGGAAATAATTTCAATCATATTCTCAAATTCTTGAAAATTTAGAATTGCCGCAACTTGTGGCGAACGTCGGCAGCTGTTTTATTTTGATATATTTGTTTACGCATTGGTTGCATGCTTCAAATGCTTTTCGGAATGCTTTGTCAAAAATGTGATAATCTTTAATGAATAATTGTTTCTATTGGCACAATTTTTTTCTTCTTCCTGTTGATTTGAACAATTGCTCAGAACTGCAGATAGATACATTTTTTTTCCATTGTAATAACGAAAATATACTTATTTCTCTTATAAAATTTGGCATTCTGCGCTTTCCTAATAACAATATTTCTACCTTATATCTGATAACCAACATATTGAAATTTTTTCTCTTAATTTCTGGAATGAAGACTAATTACTCGCTAACTGCCGGGTTATTGCTAAATGCTTTCGGTTGAACTGAAAGCATATTTCCATCTGCTTTTTGATTTGCACCTTGAAGTGTTTGCAGTTTAACTGAGCTGATGACCGTCTACTTTGGAATTGGAAATAACAAAAAATAATGAAAGTAGAACGAGAACAAGATAAGCAAGCAACCTTTTAAACAAAGTTTTTATTGAAACTACAAATGCTGTATTCAGGCAGAATATTTCCGTTCGAAAGTGCGGCAGCACGGTAAAATTTGCTTGCCTTGTTGCAGTTATTAGTTGGCTCTATAGTTCTTTATTTCGAGATTTTTGCGTGACATCTGTTCAGTGCAATATGCAAAAGTTAAGGCTCATTTATTAGGCTCGTTTATGCCTCATTTAGGCTCGTTTTGTTTGGGATCAGTGGAATAATTGCTGCGGAATTCCTGTAAACTTTATTTTTTGGCACTTTCATATATTTATCTATTGCACAAATAAGAATGCAAAGCCGTTTAATACTCAGCTTTTTATCCATTTTTACATTTATCAACTTTGACTACTTTGTGAAGAGCGTTCATCTTCTATAAATTCTTTCAAACAAGTATTCTATTAGGCAAAAAAGAAGCAACCAACTAAACGAGAAATTGTGCGCATTGTTAAAAAAAATTGTGTTTTAGCGAGGAAATCATAAGTGTGAATTTGTTTAAGTAAACTGTAAACTGCAAATCATCTTCATTTTTTATAATAATTAAAAATTTATATTAATATTAATATTATTATTTTAATGAAAAATCGAGTTTTTTTCAGAAGATTTTTGAAATTATTATAAAGATTTTGCTGTTTGCAATGATATGATGTGATATGATATGATATGATATGATATGATATGATATGATATGGTATGATATGGCATACATATGATAGAAGTGATAGCAATATATTGTCTTATATTTAAAAGATTGTGCAGAACAATTTGGAATGTAAGGAATTTTGAAAAGTTCGAATCTATGAGCAATCGACGTATACTAAAAGAACAGATGCGCATCAAACGATTCTCAACGTAATCTATTATAGAATAAAAATGAAATGAAATGAAGGAGAAAAGTCGAAGGCGGTGGGTTTTCGAGGAAGAAGGAAAATATTTTTTGAAATTCTTTAGTCGCGGAGATTCGACAACTTTAATTTTCTTTTGCTTTTGTTTTCTTTTCTTCTTTTTCAAAAGAGAAAACAAAAAATCCAGAAATTCTTTGGATATCGAATGGTCAATATTAGTGAATTCCAGGGAAGGCGGCAAACAATTTCGTTCTAACCGAGTCGAAAGTCTTCTATTTGCTCAGCTGAAATCCTCGCTCATTAGCCTTTGTATTTTTAACATATATTTATAAAGTGTGAAGTGTATTAGCCTAATGAATGTTTTGTTTGTTAAATGCATTGATAGTTATTTTAAAAAAGCAGCGAAATATCGAAATTCCTTAAAAATCGCACCTCGTTTTATTTTTCTGATTCTCTTTCATTTTTTCAAATAGATTTTCATTAAATTTTGGTTCTATCTTTTGCACCATTTTCGAAATGTTCGACCATATTAATCATAAAGAATGAGAGGGGATAGAATGGCTGAGTGGCTTGTTGCTCAGTTGGAGCGCCGAGGCTGAGGTTCTATTCAGAAATCCGGGTATGTTGGCTACTCACCTGTACTTCTATCGCCAAAAGACTCGTCGGCTTATTTGTTCAGTGCTACAAGCCAGCAAGTTTAACCAGTAATGGTGAGGGCTCTTAAAAAATAAAAATTAAGAAATGTTTTATTAATCCGTATTATACTTAAAATTAACTGAAGCCACTCTTATGTGTTACCATTTGCAATGTCGAAAATTTTATATATCGCTAGCTTCTTAGCAGAAGTAAACCTTCAAAATCTGGCTGGTGCTGATCACTCACGCTTATTTCCATTGCCAAGTGGTAAGGATTATCAGATCAAATAATCCAGCAGAGAACGAAACGGCGAGCTGTTAGATAAACGACTTATCGCTAGCTATATGATTTAATATGTGTATATTTATAGTTTCAATATTATTGCTTTATCATTCATTTTTTCTTTATCACAGTAGTCTCGTTTTAAAAAATGGCTCTGGGAATAAAGCCATAATTATATTGCAAGTACATATTTAATAGTCTCGAATCAAAATCGATATCCATCGATGCCACCAGTTCCATGGTATAGGAAAATATTTATTGGCTCTACTTTATCGTCAGTCTATCTCTCTTCTTTTTTTTGCATTGTAACAACAGTTCGGTGGTACTTCTTATAAGTTATATTCTTTATATTTCTTGGACATATTTGAACTTTTAATTTGCATGCAATTCATGTGGTTTTGAATTCTTTTTTCTTCCATGAGATTATTTTTATGTATTTCTTTGTTATTTATATTTTATTTATTATTTTTTATTTAACAACTAATTCTTCTTCTAATAGCTCGCAGCGTTACTGCTTTGTCTGACTGCAAGAATGAAGCATTGTCAACCCTTTTGGCCCGATACCACGTGTGAAATTGACACGTGTAAAATCACTCCTTTTTATACCGTCTAAACGCGTTTATCGCTGAGTCGCCTGTGCATTATCTTATCTTTCTTAACTATATCAGTTCAAGCCTCGATTGTTCTCCTCGATAGAAAAACATTTTGGCCATTCCTTATGTGATTAGACTAATCAAGATAAGACTTTTATTATAAATGGTAGTTTGTTCCATCATAAATCGAGTGGTATAAATTCGTTTAATTTGTCATATTTCACTACAAGAACATTTTTCAAGTTCATTCGTGCAACTATATTTTCTCCTTCCAACTGACCATTTCTTGTTTGGCTAATTTCTGACTGACTCTTAGGATGAGTCCACTTCACCAAGGAGTCAGATAAGCGCAAGCGGATCGGCTGATTCGCCGTAAATGCCATTTTTATGAAGGAATTTTATAAAAAATTTCATCTGGAATTGGTTCTTTTTCTTTCTAACATGTTTTCACCAAATAATGCTTTACTTAACTGAATAGATGCCTCAAAGAAAGCTAGCAAGCCAAAAATTATCTTAATTTTATATTTTTATTCACAAATCGCCGATTTCGAAATTATAATTCTCGTTTCTACGCGATAATTCTTATGGAAGTTTGCATCTACAAATTTTGACGATTTTGGGCACTTTGGCAGTTTTTGAAATATTTTTGGTATTGCCAAATTTATTTTTGATATTTGTGGCAACATTTACATTATTTAATTTGTATAAATCAATTAAGAATTATTTGAACGTGAAGGTTTTGCTTAAATTTCGAATTTGTTATAAGTATTAACAGCGATTTCCAATCAATGCCAATAAGTAATTTGCTTATCAGATGAAAATTTTTTAAAGAAAATCATCCTTTCTCATCGTATTACTCATTTGCGTGGTAGTTTGGTGGCTTTGCTGAGTGGCGTATTGCTTAGACAACGAGCATTTCAAGCATTATAGTTTTGCATTAATCTCACTGCACGAGCGAAACGTGTCGTTAAAAAATCCATGTGCTGCAGGAGATCCATGTGCCTTATTTAGTAATTTCTTCAGCAAAAGTGTTCTATCGTTATTAACAAAATGCAATGAATTTGAATTAGACGTGAT